TTCTGTGCATTTCTTTTGTCTAGACTTAAAGGACCACAAACATGACGGACTCCAAATATTTCACAACAAACAAAAAAGGTGAGTGTTTGACTGCACTGTTATGATTCCTTCCATTCAGGTGGTTTAGGGTTCATTATATCATCATGTTTTACAGTGTGGCAAAATATTTAAACTGTGTTGCTGCCAACTCTCACTGTGATTCATCTTCCAGGGGAGATCTTTGAACTGAAGGCAGAGCTGAACAATGAGAAGAAAGAGAAGAGAAAAGAGGCAGTAAAGAAGGTCATTGCTGCCATGACTGTTGGCAAGGATGTCAGGTATAGTAGAAGAGTTAAACTTGCTGTGAGCTAGTTAATAAAATGATAGTTAATGAAAGTCCCAGTGATGTTCAGGGGCTGCCTGTTGTACTGTCATCAGTTATGATTGGGCAAGAAAATGTGTCAGTATGGTTGAACCATGAGTGAAGTAAACCCAGTGAAATAAGTTTATGTATGATGGAGGAAAGAGTTTGTGGAGTGCTGTGAGGTCTGGTCATTTTCAAATGTCAGCCCGTCTGGCCAGTATCGTCAGAAATCAGGTATCAAATCAGAAAACTGTTTGGTGAAGTTTGAAAAGTGTGGAGCCTCCTCAGATGTTAAATGTTTCAGCCCTTTTAGACACATGCAGGGCTTTAGGATGCTCACTTTGCTCACAGTGTTAGTGTAAGATGAAAGAACCAGTTTTGAAGCCTCATATTGTAAACTCTGACCAAGTCCTCTTGTTCCTCTGTCAGTTCTTTATTTCCAGATGTGGTCAACTGCATGCAGACTGACAACCTTGAGCTGAAGAAGTTGGTCTACCTCTACCTAATGAACTACGCCAAGAGCCAGCCTGACATGGCCATCATGGCTGTCAACAGCTTCGTCAAGGCAAGGCTCTGCATAAACTCAATTAGTTTTTTTTAAACTGCATCTTAAGATGTAACTACACTAATGTAGAGTAAAACAGATGAATCTACATGAGAAAAGATGTTATAGCTGACATAGTTTGGACTTACTGTGACTCCCGCAGTGTCCATAACATGGGTTCCCACATATCAGAGGAAGTAACGATTATCATGCAGTTTTGAGATGTATTTACCAGACAAGAAAATTCACAACTTTCAAGGCCTTACAAAATGAAGGATTTTTTGCTTTTGAGCCACAGTGTGAACTGACACTAATGAAGTCTTTCCTCTCCTGGCCTCCAGGACTGTGAGGACCCCAACCCTCTGATCCGGGCTTTGGCCGTCCGCACTATGGGCTGCATCCGTGTGGACAAGATCACAGAGTACCTGTGTGAGCCGCTGAGGAAGTGCCTGAAGGATGAGGACCCGTACGTAAGGAAGACGGCGGCCGTCTGTGTGGCTAAACTTCATGACATCAACGCCCAGATGGTGGAGGACCAGGGCTTCCTGGACTCTCTGAGGGATCTTATTGCTGACTCAAATCCCATGGTGGGTATCAGTTCATTTCATCTTCAGTCTTTTTATGATTTCAAGACAAGAAAATTGTTATTGCTGAATCTGAGCAAAATTCTGGCACATATAGCTGTTTATCAAAGCATCCAGTGGAATGAATGGATTCTCAAAAAGTTAGACTGAGTTATTCCTGGATAGTGTTGCTTAAGTGAAGCTTGCATGCGTTTTGTTGTTGCTGTTTTCCACTACTCCTGGTTGTTTCCAAGATAATTGCTAGAATTATGTTTCTCCGTTTGATTTCGGTATTCTGTAACAGATTTCCCAAACTTGATCCAAAGATCAAGATTGCTGCTGATGAAAGCAGTTTTTAACTAATCAGTATTGTCACAAACCTTAGCCCAATCCTTTGTTCATGTCCACTGTGACAAAGGTTAGAGTACAAATTCAGCACACTGGACGTTTGTCCCGTGCTGATGTTGCTGTATTCAGCTCCCGGCGCATGATGTGAGCTGTGAGGTCGGTGGTACCTATGTCACTGCACGTTAGGAATGCTGTCCTAGTTGATCCTCAGCTTGATTTGATATGAATAATAAAAAGGGCACTGGCTGGATGTCATTAGGTCTCACAGAGGACTTTGTCATTGTGCCCTTTCACTAGCTAAACCCTGCAGTGCTCTCCTTGCCAACACAGAACTGCACAGAGCTTGACTGGGACGTCCCTAGTGTTGACTGCTGTTTGAGCTTCATGTGGATTATAGTGATATGCTCCTTGTAGCCTTAAAGATGTGTTGACTAACAGCTCCTCGTCCTTCTTTTAGGTTGTGGCCAATGCAGTTGCTGCCCTGTCAGAGATCAGTGAGTCTCACCCCAACAGCAACCTGCTGGACCTCAATCCCCAGAACATCAACAAGCTGCTGACAGCCCTCAACGAGTGCACGGAGTGGGGACAGATCTTCATTCTGGACTGTCTGTCCAACTACAACCCCAAGGATGAGCGCGAGGCTCAAAGGTAGCAACCGTGATGACCAAATAAAGTGCTTTTAAATATATCTATGATTTGTGCTTCTGGAGATGAGTGATTTAAACAGTGTAAACCACACACGACCACTACTTCACTCTCCTTTTTGAAATTATGGCACTCATGCCTGATTCAGATATTGACTTTCACCTTTTCCTGCTTCCCTCTTAAAGCATCTGTGAGCGTGTCACTCCTCGCCTGTCTCACGCCAACTCAGCGGTGGTTCTGTCAGCTGTCAAGGTGCTGATGAAGTTCTTGGAGCTGCTACCCAAAGACTCGGACTACTACAACACACTGCTGAAGAAGTTGTCTCCCCCGCTGGTCACCTTGCTGTCTGGAGAACCGGAGGTCCAGTATGTGGCTCTGAGGAACATCAACCTCATTGTCCAGAAGAGGTGTGTGATTGCAAATGGCTGAAGCTGAGATGTATTTTTAGATTCACTGGATTTCATATTGCTAGTATATTCTTTTAGTGGAAGTGGACTTTTAGCAGACACACAGGGTTTTTTTTTTGCCAGCCGAGCAGTATGAGCACTATAAACAACTTCTAATACAACATCTCTTATCATGTCTGTACAGTAAGAGCTAGACGAGCTAGAAAAGATTAGAAGAAAAACACTGTCTTATGTTCAGACCAATGATTTCTTTTTAAAACAATGAATATTCCGCAGAATCGCATCTGTGACTTGTTTAATGTGGGTCCGGCTCTATTCTCTAATGTATTGATTGTGTGCAGGCCTGAGATCCTGAAGCAGGAGATCAAGGTATTCTTCGTCAAGTACAACGACCCAATCTATGTGAAACTGGAGAAACTGGACATCATGATCCGCTTGGCCTCTCAGGCCAACATCGCCCAGGTACCTGATATAAACATTTTAAAAATCTATATATTATTGTTTCCTGTTATGCACTAAAACACCAAGTTAAATTCCTTGCATGTGAAAGCCTTCTTGGCAATAAAACCTGTCTGAGTCAAAGCGACATGGAAACTTTATTATGAGGCTAATTTTACTGCATATTTGTTTGCTTTAAAATGTACAGTTTACATGAATAAATGTGCTGTGGAGGTGTTTAGAGACTGTATTTTTGATATGTGCATTATTATACAGGATTCAATTTATTGAATTTCAGAATTCTATTTGTAACAACAGAATCAGAGCTGTTTATTTCCATTCTGTCAGGGGTTTTAAAATTGTGGCAGATGTGTGTATAACATGTATGCTGCATTGAAGTGAACTAAATTTTCAAACAATGTTGTTCATTGTTGATACATTGAAAATCCATCTGAAATATTCCACTCATTGAAATACTTATTGCTGTTTTGTCCCTTGCAGGTTTTGGCTGAACTGAAGGAATATGCCACAGAGGTAGATGTCGACTTCGTGCGTAAGGCTGTGCGAGCCATCGGACGCTGTGCCATCAAAGTGGAGGTAAGAAATGACAATATTCAATCTTATTCATGCCAGTCTTGTCTGCACAGCACTGTGGTCGTAGAAACGTCATAACACAGGGAGCAGTAGCTTAATAACAGTCAGCTGAATAATGCTAACTTTCTGTTTGCGTGTGCATTCTTTTAGCAAGTCAATGCGTAGTATAAAACAAATTATCATTAAAAAAAATCACAACGGTTTGTGGGGCGTTGTTTGTGCAAGAAACTCTTGTGAGAAACGGCTGACAATACCCCGTAAACCAAGTAAAATGATGCTGCTCCTGAGTTGTGATCACATTCTCCCCCAAGTAATGGTGACATTGAATCCTGTTCCTCTCCAGCAATCAGCTGAGCGCTGTGTCAGCACTCTGCTGGACCTGATCCAGACGAAGGTCAACTACGTGGTTCAGGAGGCTATTGTGGTCATCAGGGACATCTTCCGTAAATACCCCAACAAGTACGTTTCTCACCAACCCCTGAGAAGTGCTCAACAAACACGTTACCGATCAGTTCTTGACATAAGCAACTTTAGTTGCTGTAGTCCATCCAGGACTGTGTAGCTCACGTGTACAATGATTTCATGCTTCAAAACAAATTAATCTTTCCTTTCCCTATCTTTTCAATGACCTGGTGTTGTTCAGGTATGAAAGCATCATCGCCACACTGTGCGAGAATCTGGACTCTCTGGACGAACCTGATGCTCGAGCTGCCATGATCTGGATTGTTGGCGAGTATGCCGAGAGGATCGACAATGCTGACGAGCTGCTCGAGAGCTTCCTGGAGGGCTTCCATGATGAGAGCACTCAGGTGTGTTTATCAAAAACAACAAACAGTACACATCAGATTTATACTGGCAATCAACTGAGGTGTACACAGTCATATACATACAGAATCTAAATCAGTTCAACAAGAACACAGATTTGGAGATAAAGAGAGTGGCAATATGCAGTTAATTTTTTTTAGCAGAGACATTTTTTCTTTCACAAAAAAGAAATACAATATTTAAATAATGTAAGCCCAATTCAATCAATCAATCAAACTTTATTTATAAAGCACTTTTCATACATGAAATGTATCACAAAGTGCTGTACATTACAGAACACAATCAGGAAAGGATCAGGGGATACAAAATAAAATACAAAATCCCACCATCCCACCCTCCCAGCCCACATTTACCACATAATGCCACTCACACACACACACACACACACACACACACGCACACGCACACACAGGAACACCAAGTCAGGTCTCTACAGGGAGCCACAGAGGACAGAGGAAACGCTATCTTGAATTCAATTGAGTTTTGACTATTCAACCAGCAAAGTAATTTTCCTCCAGGTACACATTAGAGAGTTTTATTTAGTCCTCTGAACCGCAGGAAGCTTCTGGACATTTTTCACTGTGAGCCTATTGTTCACTGCAATATGAAGTTATACATCTCTATGGAAACAGCACAACAATGACTAGACTTAGAGAGAGCTCAGAAATATTGTATGTGCAGTCTAACAAAGTTTTAATGCCATAAGTCATAAAAACATTAAAACGAAAGTTGGGATTTCATACAAGAATTGGAAAAAAATGGAATCAGCATGTCCAGCCTCCTAAGCCCCTGTGTCTTTTCCAGGAGAATCCACCAAGACCCCACCATACATTTCTCAAACTCGTACTGCGAGGATGAAGGGTTTTTTGTTGAGGAGGCACTGCATGCTGATAATAACCATAAAATAATTGTACATCTTCTGATTTGCAGGTCCAGCTCACTCTGTTGACTGCTATTGTCAAGCTGTTCCTCAAGAAGCCATCAGAGACTCAGGAGCTGGTGCAGCAGGTCCTCAGTCTGGCCACTCAGGTGTGTGTCGTCTTAAATTCTGAAGAAACACAACGTTATATGAGTTTAATTAGTTCTTTACTCACTAACAAAGCCTTGACAATGTCTACTTGTTTTCCCTCTCAATTCGCACAAGAAACCTTTGAGAAGCACGTCTTTCTGCAACATATCAAAGTAATTTTTCCCCAGAGGTCTTTGTCCAATTGTGGTCCTCAAGCTCGGATTTCTCCTCTGAATGAACAGTTTACAGCACATGTGTTGAACTCTTCTATTCTTCTGCAGGACTCTGACAACCCTGATCTGCGCGACAGGGGCTACATCTACTGGCGCCTGCTGTCCACCGACCCTGTGACTGCCAAGGAGGTGGTGTTGTCAGAGAAGCCCCTGATCTCAGAGGAGACGGACCTGATTGAACCAACACTGCTGGACGAGCTAATCTGCCACATCGGCTCCCTGGCTTCTGTCTATCACAAACCCCCCAGCGCCTTTGTGGAGGGAAGCCACGGAATCCACCGGAAACACCTTCCTGTTCAGCACAGCAGGTTTGACACAAACTCTGCACAATATGACGGACTAACATTCATTATCACATCAGTACCGGACAGTGTTGCTTTGTTTCATCTCATCTTATTACCAGAAAACTCTTTTTTTTTTTTTAACCGCCTGCTGTTCAGCCTGTAGGGCGCATCATGATGTATTATTAGGTACAGTACATGTATTGTTGGTAAGACTATTGACTTTGTGCTCATCACTTTTAAATGAAACATCTGTGATAGAAGCAATCTGGATATAATGCACATCTATAAAAATGTAAATCCGAAAAATACACTGTCACTTTACATTTAAACAGTCTAACAGCCCAACAATGAAATAAATCCTTAAAAATGTTATTACATTGGCCCAGAGGAACAGTTGTGCTCCCTTTGATTGCACTCAAATCGGCCATATAGGTCATAGTTTGCTCATTTTCCACACAGATCAATTAATAAGTTCAGTTTATTTTAACACTTCAAGATCATGATAAATAGTGATATTGATCGCCTAGTTCTTATGACCAATAGCCTTAAGGTGATGCTTCAACCTTCCATCACATATATGGGGGGCAATTGTGGTTGCTTGATTCCCAGTGTAATAAAACAAACACTGTATTTGCTGTCCAACATACTAGAACTACTGAACTTAGTTAGACGTGAAGAAGAAGAGATGAAAAGTCTTCAAGAATGTAAAACAGAAGTCCAGTTTCTTTTTACTGAAGCTCCTGGATTACCAAGACCTTAATGACTGAGAATCTACAAAGACATGATTGTTAAGTCGTTATTTCATTGTGCATTTTATGCTTCATACAGCTGACTTTGAGAACAGGACATTGCCCAACTCTAGAGATATTGCCTCACATCCCACTGATATTTAATCGAGAGAAATATGTTGTGTGAAAAGAGGATCCAGTGCTGCTCATGGACAGGAAGTTGTAGAGGGGAGTTTTCACTTTGTCAGTAAAAGTCCAGGGAAATCAGCATTTCTGGTCGTGTTTAATGAGAAACTTGTACCCACTGTGAATAGAAGTTTGAGAACAGAACATCAGAACTGACAGTTATCTGTTGAGTCCTGTTTTAGCTTGAGTTCTGTCAGTACAGCATGAGGTGATAAAATGTCCCAAACATGATAAAAACACACCTAAGCTTATGTTTGATTTCTGCAATTAAAAAAACACTGTGAATTTGACTAATTTTAAAGCTCAATGCCTTAAGATTTAAAATATTGTTATATATTTTTTTATAATATTCATGCTTTCGGGTGTACATTTTGCTTTGACAGTAACCGAAGGCACAGCTCTTCTGCATCCTTTCATAACTTTCTATTAAGCCTGTGTCGTGTGATATTGTGATTGCAAGAAGGTGGAGTTTGAATTTTTATTTTAAAGCCTTCCTGTGCATAATGTGCTCTTTCTAAATGCCTACCTCTTACCAATCTACTGCTCTCTCCTCTGACAGCATTGATACTGGTGAGAGTCCAGTGAGCGGCGGGCCAGCAGCTGCCATGGACCAGCCACATGTGATCCCCAGCCAGGGCGACCTGCTGGGAGACCTGCTCAACCTGGACCTGGGCCCTCCAGTCAATGTGCCCCAGGTCTCCTCCATGCAGATGGGTGCAGTGGACCTTCTGGGAGGAGGCCTGGACAGTTTGGTGAGATGGAATGCACACATGCACACATTTATTTACATCCTCCAGAGTGGAAGCGAAACATGGCTGAAGAGCCAGTCAGCTTTCATGCTTCCTTGTATTTGTAGCAATGAACCCAAATTACCCCAAACAGTATTTTGGCCTTAGATGTCCAAAAACCATTAAACTGATTACATTTGAGGGCCACAGACAGGGTAGGCTAACAAATCGTAGTTTTATGCTTTTTTAAAATGGTATTTAACCCTCTGAACCCAAAAGCAGTTTCTCTGTGTTTTTTTTGCTCCTGTCACGTTTTTACTTATGTCGCCTCATTTTTCACTGCAATATAAAGTCCTGCACCTCCATGGAAACAGCACAACCATGACTGGAAGTAAGAAGTACTCAAACATATTTTCTTTGCAGTATAACACAGCAATAAGTTATGAAAACAACGAAATAGGAAAGCTGACTTTGTAGGTTATTTATTTTACAAAAATGTAGTAAAATTAAAAAGTAAAATTTTAAAACATTTAAATGAACATAGACAACATTTTTTGATTGCCCACAGGTGTTACTAATACTGGAAAAACTGGTGACTTAGAATTCTATAGATACTTTGCTATTTAAACATATACACTTTTTTTTTCTTGTGACTTTTGGTCACATCTGAGTCACTGATGGCCTCTCAGTTGTGCATTAGAGCCCACAATTCGTTTTTTTTTTTTTTTTCAGAGTCTTGTTAGAGCGAACAGTTTATTTCTGGCAATTTTTAAAAATGAGGCATGTAGAATAATTTTATTTTGTTGGACTATCATGATTTTAAGCTGACATTTGGCTCATTTTCCCAACTGAACCACATTTAACAGATGAGTAGTTCAAGGACTGTTGGAAAGTTGAAAATTCAACAATTTTTCTGTTTTCACAGATTCTGGCTCTGATAAATTGTTTAATTCTGGCCATTATTTATTCATTATTTTAAAGACACCACGCCTTTCAAACATGTCAGTTGGAGTTCAGATGATTAAATCTTATAATAGATCGACTGATGCTTCGACTCCTATAAGATTACTGTATTCTAAACATGCTGGTCACATGAGACTATTTGATGCTCATCACAAGATACTGTCGAGCTGACTCAGCCATGAGATGAAGGAGAGAAAAAAGCATATGCAGTTTTAAGATCAATAGAGAAGCTTTTTTTTTTTTCTTTGAAATGGTGTTTGTTGAAATGTTGGCTATTGTGTACTCTGCTCATATTTGTGATTCTTACTGTTGAACATAAGAACATCCCACTGACACTGAAGGGAAAGCTCATTCAAGACTTAATATCTTTTAAGAGTAAATTTATTTTTAACTTTTGTCATTTGTATTTGCATAAATTAAATTGATGAGTTTTGTGCCTTTGCTGTCTCCTGCTACAACACTTCAATGACTCTAAAAACTTCAGATGTCTCACTGAGATGTGTTAAAATTATGAATGACAGTGGTTCAATATCAACAGAAAAAGCGTATTTCCTCTGTTCGTGGTCGCTTTACCACTTCTCCAAGCTGCTGGAATATCTGGATTTCTTCATAATCTTCTCGCAGATTAATTTTTGATGCCTAACATGCAGAGTTAATATTTTCCCAGAAAGTGAGGGCTCCTCTTGATGGGCTGCGGTTGCTAAGAAAGTCTCTGTCTCTGTCTCTGTTTGTGTGTTCGGTCTGTCTGTGATGTTTGGATGCTGTCTTTGGGGGTCGCTCCTCTCTCCTGTAGCTGGGGGGAGACCTGGGCGGAGGTGTTGGGGGAAGTCCAGCAGTAAGTCAAGCCCTCCTGTTTGGCCGTCCGCATGCTGCATGCCTCCTGAATTTAACTCACCACACTCTCAAATCAACATCTTCGAGTTTTCATCTACTGTTTAAAACCTGGATTCTCTGTTTTGCACTCATGTGTTTTCAGTTTGGAGACCACACAGATGTTTTGAATTGTTTTAGCCCATTTTATTTCTGGGAAAAGCCGCTCCTTCATTGTCACTTGCACACCTTGATCTGTGTATGCCATGTATGAACTTAGGCAGAAGTATTTTCATGCAGGCTGTTATAGATGACATACAGTTTAACTCAGATGTCAGTATGAACCTTTTTAAAACACCAAACACACCAGTTGTAGTGGAGCTGCAAAGTCACTAGCTCCCTCTCTGATTTCCAGTTTTATTTTTCTCAATTCAAAAGTGTAACAATCCTTTGAATTTCAGAGGAGAATAGAAATACTTTATGAATCCCTGAGAGGAAATTTGGTTCTTACAGCAGAAAGTGTGAAGTTGCCACCACTATGAATGCAAACAAATAAGTAAATACACAATAACTATAATATACAGTCAAAGTAAAAATGTCCTATGTGAAATAAGAATGTACGAATGTTAAATTAGGTTTCTATTTTGGCTACCTGATTTATTTATTTCACCTCTGACAATGAGAGAGGTTTGTTTGTTTTGTCTTTCAGCTGCTGCTAGTATTATAACATTTTCCATCGACTTCTTCAACTTTGCAATCTGTTAGTGTTTGCTTCCAGTTTTCATCTGAAAGAACTAACTTTCTGTTCCGTGGATAGCAATTTCCTGCTAAATTCTTCACAAAAAGTGTTTCTGAATTATTCTGAAGTGACAAACAGGTCACAAAAATCACATTAAGAGCTTCAGGTGTTTGCTGATTGATCCTTAAAGGGATTAACAGAATGACTTTATACCTGTGACAACATAGATTTGGATACATTTAAAGATTTTGCCACACAGTTTATATTATGGTGAACATCCCTTTAATTTCTTAGCAGCACATGTTAGGTATTTATATTAGTTTTGCATCATTGTGACTTAAAGTGATTGGATTTGTCAGGTTTTTAAGTCACTGGATTATTAAAAGCAGACATTCCCATCTGCTTGTTTTATCTATAAATAGCTGCTTTAATGATCCTCCAGAAAACAGAACATTTTTCAGGAGTCTTGCTGCGTGCTAACTAGCATGTGTCTGAATTAACAGCTTTGTAGTTAATGGGCTAAAACAGTCAAAACCCCTGGTATGGTCCTTAAAATGAACCTCACATTTGATTTTGGTGATTTTTCTCTGGGCTTTTTGGCAAATCACAATCTTGATATGGTTGAAATTTTGTTTTCCTCATAATATCTGAAGCATAATAACTCATCTTTTTCTTTTTGCATGACATTTTCTGCGTGATTCTTTTTGTAGGTTTATAGCAAATTTGTAAAGTTTCCGGCGACGCCTCCTGGAGTTCTAGTTACTTAGATTGTGTGTGTCTGTTATGTGTGTGTTTTTGTTGCGATTTCTGCAGGTGGGACAGAACTTCATCCCGTCGTCTGTCCCCAGTACTTTCGCTCCGTCTCCTACACCTGCACCTCCGGCTGTCAGCAGCGGCCTCAACGACTTGTTTGAGCTTTCCACAGGCATGGCCATCACCACTGGAGGCCACGTAGCCACAAAATCAGTGAGTTCGCTCAGCTTTACCCTCACAGCTTCCCATGAGTTCCCTAGAATAATGATTGTCACATTTTAGTCAGTAACAGATCCACTGCCTATAATAAAGGCAGCAGCAAGTAAAGTAATACACAGTGAATCAGGAATACCAGAAAATAGCTGCAAGAACAACTCAAAGAGCTGTCAGAGTGTTTTTGGAATCCTCAAAGCAAAGACATAATGGAAATGACTCACATAAAAACCATATTTTGAGTCCTAGTTCCTCCCAGAGCTCCACATCAGAGGTGGTGACTACAAATTTATGGGCAATAAACCTGGAGTTTCGGTTTAAAATACAGTTTGAACTATTTTGAAAGTGGTTGGCACAATGACAGAAAGTTCAGATTTGCTTTAATCACATTACGACCTACAACATTAGAAAGTTGAAATTATGGAAAGTAACTGTGCTCAACCATGCCCTCAAACACTGTCAGGTTGATTTTTATACTTCTGCAAAATTCCAAATAATTCCAGACTCACTTTCAAGCTCTAGTTTTTAGAGAATATTTTTTTCAAACAAATCTCTACGGTGCCACACTCTGGTTTGTGTTTCTGCTGGAATCATTTCAGAGTTTATGGTTGTGTAATGTCACACTAAAGCAGTTTTCAAAGTCAATGCAAAGACGTTTACTAACTGGTGGACTGATTCGTTTAATGTTTTTTAGCATACAGAGAACATTGTGTGTCAGATGTTTAGTATCAATGTCAAAAGTCTGACTTTGCAAGAGACACATCATCTGTTCAGACTGTGACAAACACTCATTATGTGGGTTCATGTATTATTAAAGCGATGAATAACAGTGCAAGAAATCTACTAAGAATAGTGGATTGGTTGGGTTTAAGGTGCAAAATTGAATATTTTATCCTCTGTGGCAACAGCTTTAAATAACACATGCCATTAACTTTACAAAGTAATCCACCAGGACTGTGTGTTTGCTTGTATGTAATTGATCAGTGCCGCAGTGAGTTGTTGGATGGAACCAATTTGTTTTGCAGCCATTTGGACCTGGTTGCATTTTTTGGTGGATAAATTTGAAATGCATTTAAGCTTGTGCATTATTATTATTTTGTACATTTAAAATACTACATACAATATATATTCTTTGTACAATAATCTTTGAAATGACAGTATTTTAAAACTAAAGATAGAATGTACAATGTCAATAGTACTTATGTAAATGATAATGATAAATGATCCACCCTTACAGAGCACCATATTTAAGGGAGCTACATTATTACACAGCATAGGTCTGAACACATCAGTGAGGCAGCAGTTATAGCAAACAACTGCTTCCTCACCAGCTCAGTGTTGAAGCTGCTTTTGTAGAAATGTGAGAATATGTACACATGAAGTATCCACACGGCTCCTTGTAAAACTGATTAGACTGCTGTGTTTTACCAGGTGTGGCTTCCTGCAGTGAAAGCCAAGGGGCTGGAGATCTCTGGAACCTTCTCTCGCCGTCAGGGCCACATGTACATGGACATGACCTTCACCAACAAAGCCCTGCAGCACATGACCGACTTCGCCATCCAGTTCAACAAGAACAGGTCAGTGAGGCGACTCAAAGGCAAAGTTCTTCTCCTTTAGTTTTAGCTCTGTGCCCTTCAGGAATCTCAATAATAATATTGTGTTTGTCTGTCTTTTGCAGCTTTGGGATGATCCCCACCAGTCCGCTGCCCATTCACACTCCACTGATGCCCAGTCAGAGTATTGAGATTTCTTTGCCTATTAACACCATCGGGCCAGTCATGAAGATGGACCCACTCAATAATCTGCAGGTATAGAAGCTCTCGCACACTTAAGCAGCATTGCAACGTCAGCCACCGTTAAACCTCGGCAGCTTACCATCACCTGTGGTTTTTGGGATTTGTCATGCAGCAGTTTAAGTAGAAAGCCTTTATGGGCACATAGAGAAAGCCTAGAGTTTAGAGAATCTGTTTTCTCCTCTTTAGTGCGTTTCTTTTTTTAGCCCCTTAAACAAGCAAAACACCACACTGATTGACATCTCCAGTGTAAAACAAAATACATGAATATTAATGCACAGTCATCAGTCAGAACATTTATTTAGCTACGTTCTATTTAACTTACCTTCTTTTTTACCTTTGTATTTGTGCATGTGTTGTAACTTTGCTTGTTATTTTCAAGTTATCTAATGTCAAATCAACATTCTGTTTTGTTTACTTGTTTACAGGTGGCAGTGAAGAACAACATCGACGTGTTCTACTTCAGCGTACTCATCCCTCTCAACATATTCTTTGTCGAGGATGGAAAAATGGGTATGATTGTCACTCAACTTTCTAAAACGGCAACATCACCTCTGTCTTTACACCATCTGTGTCACACGAATACACAGGTATCTTGTGCAAATAATGAAGTGGGAAGAACACATCTTATTTATTCATATAAATTTCACATTAGGTGTGAAATGGTTTAAAAATTACACATCAGAGTTTAAAAGATTTTTGTATTTAGAGATTACAGCTTGCAGGTTTAGCTGTAGCTATAGAACTGCCATAGATATTTAAATTTGACAGTAAAAGAATTGAATGAAATCGCTAAAATATACACTTCAAAATATGGACACTTGAACTCTGCATATGACCGCACACATGACATAATACCAGACCTGCGTCCGTGTGTGTCAGCCATCCAGTAGTTTCTGTATCACTGGTGCTGAGCAGTTTGTTGTTTTTCTGTCTTCAGAGCGACAGGTGTTCCTGGCAACCTGGAAAGACATCCCCAATGAGAATGAGCTACAGTACCAGATAAAGGAGTGCCACCTAAATGCAGGTAGGAAAGTTTGTCAGTAAGTTGTATTGCAAACAGATGAGAAAATATCTCTGGTGGACAAGTAAAGATGATACCTATTTTATTTGTGTGTTTATTTTTCTGTCTCCCCATTACCTGGGCCTGTACTATATTTAGAGTGAAACCCACTGAAGACATGTTTTTTATTTTCTCATATGTCAAAAAACAATTTATGCAGATAAGGATGTTTCTTTGAATGCAAGTTACTCTTTGTGCAGGTGATTTATAGCATTTTTAGGGCTGTGTGTCCACCAAAGTGTTCTTTGCCAGCTGATAAAGCCTTATGCTCAGCTGAAAACATCCAGCTGGAACTGTTTGGAAGCGCTCTGGAGGTGCAGCATTTTTCAGATCAAGTCTTTGGTTGTTTTTGTACAAAAACAGAAGGAAGTGTTCCTCCAAACATAATTTTCTTATTAATATTGTGCTAGATGAGATACCTTATCTGGTACAGACTTCGGTTGTCAGAAAACAGCAGTATGAACTTCTCCGTTGTCATCGTTTAGCCGTTGTTCATCACTTTATGTGAATCAGTGTAGAGTTTGTCCTCTCCTTCCTCCGGTGTAAAAGGACGGCTGATAAAAAGTGACAGTGCAGTGCTTCACCCAAAGTTCAGCATATTTCAGCAGAAACATCCAGCCGTCAAAATATACCCTCAAGGCCTCGTCATGCTTCTAGCATCTGTAGTGTGGTGTAAATATGTGGCGCTCCCATTACAAACAACTGAAAATATGTGGCCTCGAGAGAAAAAAAAAGTTTGCTGTTTTGTGGACACAAAGACAAGCTCAGTCAGAGTGTCTGTGCTAAACATACAAATGAGTCGGCAGCACATTTTGGCTCAGTGCTCTTCCTCGCTGAGTTTTAATAATCATAAATGTAGGAAACAACTTTTGAACCCAATACGCTGCAAACAATCATGTTTCCTTTTGATCGCTTAGTCCTCATCCCTCTTGATGCTGAAAACATTTGTATCACGTAAAAGAAATCCAAAATATCATTGTAATTCATGTCTGGAACGTTAACGTCCTGTTTTGTCAGCAACATCTCATCTAAAAACAAATGTATATGTGTGTTGGTGCAGCTCTTGTGTGACTAATGATGCACAAATGAATTGGTTTGGAGTATTTTTTGCTTTTTTCTACTGATACTTTCCTTTTTTTCCCAACCAAACATCACCTGACAACATTTACAATTAGGACTTTTTACTACAGAACACATCTACAGTTGTCTTTCTTATACCTTACACTGATCTCTGTGTTTTCTCTCTCCACCCACATGCCTGTCTTTGGATTATTCTTTTCTTTTACCTGCACCCAACAAACCTTTCTACAATTTCTGTCCTTTTAAAAGCTGCCCATAATTGTGCCACTGTGATCCTGGCAGTAGGATGGCTAACAGCACATGGTTGATCACAGCAGGGCCCAGTGCCAGTGTTAGAAAGCCTGGTCAGCTTTACTGAAATCTCAAAGCTCTTTAAAATCCTCATAGAGCTATTTTACTTTGCATTAGCTCCTGTTCACATTAGCATTAGTACCTGTAGTGATGATGGCTTCAGTAGTGTTCACAGCCTCGTGTGTGTGATGTGGTTTTTCTTATTGCCCAGTAATTAGAAGGTAGCAGTAGGTGGTACATTCATTATCTGTAGTAACCTTCAATCATTCTGGTCCTGCAGACACAGTGTCAGGAAAGCTGCAGAATAACAACATCTACACCATTGCCAAAAGAAACGTAGAAGGCCAGGACATGCTGTACCAGTCGCTCAAGCTGACCAATGGCATCTGGATCCTGGCTGAGCTCCGCATTCAACCCGGAAACCCCAACTACACGGTAGAGTGTTCAACAGTTTGTGCGCAGCTTTTAGTATTTGAGCGCCGGCTGTGATTTATGGTTATTGAATGTCTTTCCGTCTTAGTCATGTGTTCTTCTGGATAGAAAGAGATAGAAAATATAACAAACATTTCCCTGCACTGACTGTCAATAACTACAAATAGAAAAACTGTATCTAAAGACTTCTGATTAGTTAGTGGTTGTGTGTGAAGACATACTTGAATGTAATGGACTCCAGTTTGTGTCTGTGATTAAGTAGGTATACTGATTTCTGTGCATATATCTGGTGGGTTTTTTCAGTTTTTAATACAAAACAAAATTTACTTGTAAAGAAATATGCAATATTAGGAAAGAAGATCTGTCAAAAAAAATTTTTTCGAGCGACAACTGATGGTTGTCTTTGTCTATAAAACGGGAAAATGCATTTTCCAAAGTCCAAAGTGGCATCTCCAAATGTCTTGACCAACAGTCTGAAATCAAAGAACAAATCACAGAAGGAGGTGGATCCAGAGAACAAGTTGCATTTTTTGCTTGTACTTCTTGAAAAATAGCGAGAATTATTATTGATTAAGAAAAAAGCTGCCTGTTTTTCGTCTCACAATTGACTAATAATTTCAGCTTTAATTCCAAGTAATATGAAACTGGACAAAACAAGGGTAATGCTGTGTTACAGTGGTAATTGTACTACATTCATAAGGAACTTTTCTACTTTACTAGACAAAGTACTTCACAATTTTTATGCCACCCATCAGGTCACTTTGCTCAAGGAAACTTTGACATGCAGAAGGGAATGTATGATCATCAACCCAATGATTAATCAGCGATCAGCTCTCCCTCCTAAGCAGGAGTTGCCCCTGTGCGTCACATAAACCTTAAATCAGCTGTCTGCCTGTAATAACTGTTTCTACACTGAGCAATACAGAAGCACCCAGAAGCAACAACCACTACTCAGACGAGCATGTCTCACTAGTTTTCTCCATTTTGTGTTTGCATCAGTTTTTTTTTGCTTACCAATGGGACAGCAGTAGACGACACTTAAAAAGCTCAGTCTGATTGTTTTGGATCAAAAATTGACAATGTTGACGACATTTCCACTTTTAAACTGTACTTCAGATTCTGTAACAGCCCAAATAGCCCAGGTCAACAGTGAAAATACGGGTCACTATTTTCTGAAAACTAGTTGCCCCCTTTCCAGGGTCTGAAGAGATACATCTATATTTAAACTGCTCACACTGAACAAACTTCATCTTTCAGACTGACTGTTGATAAATGAAGGTTCTCTGTATTTCCACAGCTGTCTCTCAAGTGTCGGGCTCCTGAAGTGTCTCAGTACGTCTACCAGATGTACGACTCTGTGCTGAAGAACTGACCTGTTCTGCCACTTAGCAGCTCCGCTTCATCCTGACTACAAACTGCAGTGTTTTATCATTTTCTGTATCTGCAGCTAACTGCCAAAACAAGAGAACCCAAACAGTAAATGGTGGATGCTGAAAGAAAACCTGGATTAGTGGGTATATTTCACCTCTGAGGGATCAACAGGGTAAATGCTGATACGAAGGTATTATGAGTGATCACCATGCTGTTAAACACGCTGTTGGTGTTTCCTTTATTTTGGCAGTTGAACGCATTATTAAATCCTGTAATTCAGCTCCCCATTTAGATTTTTACCTCCCAGTGAGAACACGTCGACCATTCCATCCTTAACTTAGTGTCTTAATGTTGTGAAGATGATGAAACTGTCCCGAGTGAGGGGAAAAAATCTCCCCAGTTTCCATGAAGCCATTGTTTTTGTTTTTTTTTACTTTGTACAGCGTGTGGCTCGCACGTCTTTCAGTTTATTTTTGATACTGGCTTTGCTTTAGTTGTATTTTCAGAAGAATACCAGTGTTGATTTGCTCTGTTTGCCATTAATGTGTTTGAAGATTGAAACCCAGAAGCTATTGATGTCTTTTCCTGCCATGACTTTAACACAGCTTCTTTCATGTTTACTAGGAGTACTTGCATTTAGTCACTAACACCTCAAGTGTGAAACATTGTACAATGATTGAAAAACTGTGAAGTGCAATTTTTAAAAAGTTGGGGTAAGAAAATGCAAACCAGAGCACCAGTAACTGTAACCTAACTGCTCAATTTGGGTGTTTTCACTGTGGGTTTCCACTGCCATTCATAATGCAGGTGGTAAAACAGAAAACAAAGCTCTGTTCCACTAAACCCTCTTCTAGCCTTCAGCACATTCTGGCTTCATTAGCACTCCACCTTTTCCATCTCAGCTACTTGTGAACATCTTTGGAATAATTTGGCTTTTTAAAAAAAAGAAATTTGGCAGTCAAATTCTAAAACCAATTGCAATGAGAAATTGTACATGTAAAAAGAAAACAAAGTTTTCAGCCATGTGAAGCAACTTCATAGAACCAGTTCTATCGTAAATTCATTACATCCCAACTGATACTGGATTTTTGTGGCTGATTTTATCAATATTTTGGCTGATGTTCTTTATAGACACAGTGTGTTGGAGGTAAATTGATAAAATAAAACCATGGTGTCACTGTGAACTTTCCAGAAATGTATTTTACAACTTACTTTAAAGACACCGTTTGACTCCACACCACCATCTGCTCAACTGTGCTACATAATCTGCTACATGCGCTGCAGACAGTGCTGAGAGTGTTGCAATGGAGTCAAAACTGCTCGCTAGACAAACTAAGCAATGACAACATTTTTAAATTACGCTGAGCATGTTTTTCTCAATTATGCTCAGTAAAAATAAATGTTTTACATCAGCACATATTGTAAAACATATACGGCAATAATGATGCCATAGGCCAATATTGGTTGATTGAACTGATATATGTAAAATCAGTCAAGCTCTAAAGTGTAATGATTTAAATTCTTGGCCAACACCCCCAATATTTTCACCTCAACTTAGTTTTCCAACCACTACACAAACCGCTGCAGCTCTTGATTATGTGTTAACACACCAGTGCCACTCCCCGTTAAGAATATTCGTTGTCCTTTTTCTAACAGCCCCATCATAGTCGTACACGGCTTCACTCACCTCTTATTGTCATTCCTCTTTATTCTGCATCTACCTCTGCGTGTTTCCTTTTAACTGCTGCAGTAGCTCCACTTCTGCTCTGTGCTTTATTGTTTCCACTATTTCTTTTGAATGCCAGTGTTTTTTTGTTTTTTTTTGTAAACTCCATGCCAGTCTAGACTTGTGGCAACTCGGCCAAACTGAACTCGCAGGACCAAGCATTCAAAGTAATTGCCACATTTCTGTTTTAACACTCCAGTATCATTATATCCTCCTAATGTTGGCGTTGTCTGTGCTATATGAACGTTACAGTGCATACGCCCTAAGGCCCAGAGTTGTAGTGTAGTCCAGTGATGGTGTAGTTTGTGTAGCTAATAAATCAAAAGGTTTTGTTGTTACTCTGGAAATGAATTGAAGCATCGCCTCTACCTATTCAACAAGCAGAACAGGCTTATTCGATGTATCAGTTGTGTTGGTGACGCTATTCTCATACACGATAACACAAAATATGTTTATGTGCCTGCATGACCTCACTGTCATTTTATCCTTTTTCATTTCAACTCGAGTTAACACTCCTCTCCTCCATATCTCTTGTAGATCTCATGTTTTTTTTTTGTTTTTCTTTTAAATGCAGCCTTCCCACAGATAGAAGTATATCCAGAGTTGTTGCCACCAGTACAGAATTTACGACGAGATCTATCATAGCAGCTTGTGAAATGGAATATTTCTAGCGTCATTGATGTAACCCTGTTGTAAATGATTTGTTATTGTCACAGTACCACATCTTATGTCAATAAATTGTCAAACTCATTGTGCATCATTGTGTGTGTTCATAAGGTGCAGCAGAGCCGACTTTAAGAGACAGGAGTCACACTCTGGTAGGTTAATAAGAAAAAAGGACAGATTCATGTGTGCCTTCATTTCTAAACAATGCAAGCACATTAATGGAGGCCTGTAGCACAAAGCAAGACTCCTGGGGTAAATTACAGTTAATCTACAATTCATTAAACCCCTAAAAGCTCATCTCTGTGGATCTAAGCTAATTATTTCAGTTTTTTTTTTAAATGAAATTCCTTCCTCCAGCTGAACTCACTCGCTAGGCTTGTAATACATGCTCCTAACATCTGGCGGCGGTAGTGGTAAGACATGATTCCACTGTGCCATTAAATGACCAACGAAGAAGAAGCAGGAGAGGAGGCGGGTCCTGCCGGCCATGTATCGGAGCCAATCAACCGTCCTGGCGGGTCTTGAGCTGTTGTTGCTCCGGACTGTCACAGTTTTCTTTAAACATTATAACACTACTACACGGTATGGCGTCGTTTGTGACCGAAGTGCTGGCCAGCTCCGGCAAACTGGAAAAAGAGGACCTGTCCGGCAAAATAAGCAAAATGTCGCGCAAAGTGGAAGATACGAAGGTAACCCACTGGCTAGCGTAGCATTAGCTGAGTAAAGTTTGAACTAGCGCTGCTAACTGCTAGCGCCTCACTGATGCTTTGACTGTTAGTTAACCTTCGCTAGTTTAACGGAGATTCCTGAACGGACATTCAACTATAGATATTTAGTTAGTTATATATAGATAGATAATAGCCACGCCCTTAGCTAACGCAGAGCAGAGCTAGCAAGTTTATAGCAAGTTTACTGTATTGTTATTAGCATAACTGTTAGCTGTCCATATGTGAAGCAGGCTCAGTACCGTCATCTGGACTACGTGGCTCTTGTTGTGTTCTACATTAAGACGTATATAAAACCGTAAGACACTCGCTAACTTTGCTTTAAACCTAAAAACAATGTCAATACTAAATTTAAACACTAGAAGACACAGATTTGACGCACTATGCCTCATAATACTCATACATAAATTGTTAAAAATTATTTTAGTGTAGGCTAGTGAGGTAAATACAAGTCAAATACATGTCAACTATGAACAAGCAAGTAGCTAGAAGACCAGCTGCTAAATTGTCGTGCTGATTTAACATTTGTGCAGCAATTAAAGCTGCAACTTAAGAATATTTTCAGTGTTGGATGTATTTGTTTATTTTCTAGATTAACCGATTAGTTGTTTGCTATATGTCAGAAAATGTTGAATAATGTCTCTCAAAGACCAAGATGAAGTCCTCCAATGCATTGATTTGTCTACAACCTAAAGAGTGTACTGTCCCAGAGGAGGACAGAAACCAGAAAATATAATCAATTTTGGGGCCTTGAATCAGACAGGTTGGATTGCTTTCTAAAAAGTTACTTAAACCGATTAATTTTATTCATTGAAAAAAGCTGACAGTTTTATATTAGTTGATAAGTCAGTTGAGTAAGTGCTGCAACTCTTGCAGGAATGTACAACTGTTGTCAGCATTACACTTCAAACTGTTAATCTAAGTATTTTTTGAAAGTTCTGATTTGTTTATCATGGGTATATTTGGGCAGTAGTAGTAGTGCTGCAGTGATTATTGATCAACTGACAACACGTTGTGAGATCCATCAGTTGTTATAATTTTGGAAACATAGCTGGTGAAAAGATAAGCCTCAAATAATTTTAGCCATGGATATAACACCCACAGAGATTTTGTGTAAAAGAGTAAAGAATAATTTGTAAAGTTGTTGTGTGTACAAACTGAAGTCGTCAACAGTAAATTCATATCAAGTATTGGTTTGACAGGAGGGAGATAGTTATAATGAACATACTGGATCTGTGCCATAATTTTAGCTATACACAAGTGGTTGTAAATGTGCTAAAAAGTTATTTTCTGAACCTAAAGTAACAAAGCTTGTTTGAAATAGCTCAATTTCGTTTGTGTGTTTCCAACAGGAAGAAGTATGTGAAATGATAAACAAGAGGTACAGTGACTTCCTGCCGACTCTTCAAAGCTCAGAGGATCTGATGGTGCAGGTTGAGACAGTCTCCAAAGAAATGGATGCCCTTAAAAATTGCATTGAGACTGAGGTATGCACGAAGTCTTTGTAAATTAAAGACTGGATTTATAGCAGTGTTGTGAGTTTAAATTGATTTGTGTTTTTGGACCCAGGTGCGACCGAATATCCACATGGCTGTGGCTGACTATACAAAGCTGAAGCAACAACTGGAGAAAAATACTGTCATCATAACAATGCTTGGACACCTTAAAGAGGTACAACATACATGGCAATTTATCAAGTCACCTTTCATGTGCATCTTTTTCAACATCTGAAAGTTTTCTAATTTCACTTAACTGACAAATCAGATTGTTATTCTGTATATTTCTGTTACCATTCTCTCTCTAATGAGCTCATAGTGTAGATAATATTAGCTTTTAAGACAAATTAGCTGCATGAGTCGTGTTTTGTGTTAGCTATATATTAACAGAAACCTTGTGTTCAGAATTGTTTCAGCAGAGAACAGTGATATTTTATGCATCTGTAGTTTACATGTTTGAATGTGTTTATGGCTAATGTATCTTCTGTATGACTCAGTTTCATAGTGCAATGGAGGAGTTCAACAAAGCTTTACTGGAGAAGAAGTATGTTGATGCAGCCAACCAGCTGGAAAGGGTAAGAGCTGCTTATGTCATTTCCACACAACCGTACATCTACTTTGAACCAGAACTGGGCAATGATATAAAAACTCAAATTTTTGACCCCCTTCTTCAGTCACATTGTCAAAAGCCCCTGTAATAAACCTGAAAGTAGAAAAATTGAATTCATCTTCCCCCTAAACAACAAATCACTGTCAGTCAGTGTCGTAATCCGCAGGAGGCAGAACAAAACAAACCTCTTGTAAATACTGTCGGATAATAGGGCATTGTTATAAGATTAGTGCTGATCGTTTGGGATCACTGTGTGTTTATGTGTGCCTTGCAGTGACCAGTCAAGTGACACTGGTAATGTCATTTCATTGAATCCCATGAAAAGAGAGTCTGGATCAAAAATATACAGACTACAGAAAAACATGAGCTAAAATGCTTTGTGTGTAGCTATAACTTTATACAGTTGAAGGAGGCTGTTATGCACACTGTTATCTCATCACCCATGGATCACTGAAACAATATTTTTTCTACATGAATGAAAAATCTATTGATCAACTCCAGACAGAACCTGGCTGCAAAGAGATCACATCACTCCTGTTCTAGCCTCATTACACTGGCTTATTTTTTGACCTCTCACGCTTTTCCCAGCTATATATCTGACTCCTTACTGTCGTGTACACCAGTACATGTAACCAGTGTCTATGGAAGTAAAAATAATGATATTAATAAAACTATGTACATGTTTCACATGTGCAGATATGGCAGAATGGATAATTGTACCCAAACTGAAAGACCACACAGTGTGTAGAATTCTACTTAAAAAGTTATACACCAAATAGTTTTTCTTATCTGTCTGATAATTTTAAGACTTTGCTGCCCTTATGAGATACTTTGTGAAATGGATTTATAAATATATCTAATACATAATATTATTATCATTCTCATTTTCATCATTGTTATTGAAATGAGCAAACTACACCTCTTATTGAGGTGAGGGATTGGAAAAATATCTTTACAGATATGCTGGGCGTATGATTTTCAGTTCCGGTGTGTTTTCTAATGACCTGCCTCACCTGATTTCTCTGGGTAACCTGATTTCGTAAATGTACAGATTGATGGGTCATACTTTCTTCCAGGCGAGGGATAATGTGGATTCACTGAAGAGCTGGAAGATTTCTCAGCTGCCGCTGCTCAGTGCTATCAGCTCTGAGCTGACGGTGCAGAGAGAAAACTTAATTTATCATCTGGGAGATGAGTGGAAGCGCCTCGTCATCTGGACTTTACCATCTTCAAAGGGTAAAACATCCTGAGAAAACCTGACAAGAATGTCAGATGTGGTGCCTACACTTTGCTGAGTATTAACCTATGTTTACTATTTGTCTAACAAATACGCTCATCAAATACAACATCAAGTGTTGTTTTAAAGGCACCTTTCATCCAGTGAGTGCATTAATCTAAGAAATTACTGAACATTGTGAGGGATCACTCACACCCAGTCTGTACATTTTATAATCTAGAATTTCACTGGTATTTCTTATTATTCTGTATCTCAAAAACACGACAGAAAGGCTGTCTGAAGTTACAGTTTTTGCAGTAACTGTTGGATATCGTCCCCAGAACCTGCAGGTCAGAAGTCCTTCCTGAAGGTGGAGCTGAACCTGAGCAATGCTTGTAGTAAAGACAGTGAACCAAAAATATCCGCTCTGCTGTGCTCCGTCCTGCAAGCTCTGGCCATCCAGGGAGACCTCCAGCACAAGATCAAACTTTTCAGTAAGAGCAACACCCCTCACTGTTAAATATGCAAACCTCTTGTGTCTTGTAAAATGTGTTTTCATACCTTCCAGACACTTTATTGTGCGTAATTCAATTCAGTTATCTTTTAGTGACAAAAAATAAACCATTGAGTGTTCGCTGTTGTACTCTGCAGTGAAAATAAAGTGTAGTTAGTGTGTTTGGGGCATTTCTGCTCTGCAATCTGTTTTACCTTATTTGCTGATGTATGCACTGATACTGATGAGTTTGCAGGAGGCTAACATAATCTGCTTTCTTTGCCCAGTTTATTGATCTAGCTCTAAAGCATAGTTTATATAAGGTAGACCCTGCTCAGCCTTGGTTTCTGTTGTTGTTGTTCAGGTCAAGTGCTTTTAAAAAACATGTTGAAGCCGCTGGTGATGTACGATTCGCTGTCAGTGAGGGTAACGGAGCAGCAGGACGAGGGAACCATCTTGGCCTTACAGTGTTTAGAAGAGAGCCACGAGGAGCGATCAACACCTTCACAGGTCTACAGCAAACTGCTCCTGGTGCTCAAGACGCTGCACTCACATCTGCTAGGTAAACGCATAGAGGTGATATATTATGCTGTAATGTTGTTCGGTGTCAGTGTTTCACATCTACATCAGCACTTCATGATCCATGAGCAGGGTTTTTCCTGCAGCTTTTGGTGGCTAAGCTAAACTCTCTAGAGCCAAAATGATTTGAATTGGGGGAGACAAAACGTTTTTAACCAGTTTTGTCAATTAGGAGTTTATTTACTCAACCATAATAGGTATTTTTGATTATCAAACATGAGTAGTCTGCAAAGGCCCAATCTGAGCCAGGAAACACCCTGATGAGTTGGATGCATCATTAAGATGTCTCAATCCTAAACCAGTCAGATCACCAGAAAGACAGCAGCTGGACAAATTATCATGTCAATTTACTTTGATTTGCTAAGTAGTGACAGACAGCCTAAAAATGAAAGTAAATACCTCATGCTTACCTCAGACTCTGCTGAAATATTACTCAACGAGCCTGAGAAAAACTTGTGACTTGTGTGCTATTTTTCAGATGTTTCCATTGGTGATAAAAAGCTTGCGGCTATCTTGGGTGAGCTGATTTGGGAGGAAATGTCCCAGTGCATCATCCACGAGTGTCTGGTCCACTCCATCCCCACCAACAGCAGCCAGCTGGAGAAATACAACACTGTACGGACATAACAGATGTTTGTGTAGTATCATGACACATAGGGATCATTTATAGAGAAGAACTGTATCTGTGTCTTGCTTAACTAAGAGATTATTTTCACATTATTGTCTATGGTTGAGAGGTATGGTTTTACTAAATATATTTATATCTACATATGTGTTCAAGGTGATCAAGGAAACAGAAGACTTTGAGAAGTCTCTGAAGGAGATGGAGTATCTGCAGGGCGATTCCACAGACCTGCTCAAATATGCCAGAGATGTCAACTGTCACTTTGCTAGCAAGAAGTGCAAAGATGTCATCGTGGCAGCTCGCAAACTCATGACCTCCAAGATGCACAACACCGTCAAAGTAAGTGTGAGCCAAGGCCAAGTGTCTGGATAGATAAAATGCATGGTTCTTTATTGTAAACAAGGTCTGACCTGAGAACTTTGTCAGGCCAGGACCTAAACACAATTTTTATATGACAGCTGTTGTGCGAAATATCCTGAAAAATTAATGTACACAAGTCTTAAATAATACAAAGATTTGTATAAATGATAATTATATGATAGTTTACAGAACAGCTGCACCAGTAAACCTCAGAATGGAATTTATTACGGGTCTGATTGTCTCACAAAAACTCTGCACTGAAAATCTCTGCATCCTTTTTGTTAGTCATCTTATTTAATTTCTTTCTCTCTTTTTTTTTTTTTTTCCTAACCTCCTCTGTTAGATTACACCGGAGTCAAAGCTGCGTCTCCCAAAGCTTCCTGCTGCGAGTTCGGAGGTGAAAGTAAAACAAGAAAACGTAAAGGAGGAGGCGACAATGGAGAACTCAAAGCAGCTTTCTGCGTGGAGTCTGCGTCTGCCTGCCTGTCGCATCAGTGAGTCTGTGCAACAGCTGATGGAGCTCGCACTCAACACTCTGTGTGAAGCAGTAGGAAGCTCCACTCAATGGTACGTTACAGTCTCAGAGACCTCATTGTCTTTTGTACTGACTTATGTATGAGTCATAATGTGGTAGTTTGTACTCGGCAGGATATCTGTATTACATGTCAGTGGTGTCTAGGCAGGGTTTAGGCTTGTTAGACCGTCATCTAATTGGTCTTTCTGTTCTTTTTAGTGCACTACAGCTCTTCTTCACTGTGAGAAACATTTTCCAGCTGTTCTATGATGTCGTACCAACATACCACAAGTAAGAGTGTTGGCATGACATAGCAAATATTAGCCCAAACCAACATGTTTTTCCTCAATATGTAAATGGTTCTTTTGCTTCCCTGCTACCCTATCCAGGGAGAATCTGCTCAAGTTTCCTCACCTAGCTGCCATCCAGCACAACAACTGCATGTACCTGGCTCACCACCTGCTCACTCTGGGCCACCATTTCAGAAACCACCTGCCACACCCCCTCAGCGACGGCGTGGCAACTTTTGTTGACATGGTGCCTGGATTCAGGAAACTGGGTAAGCAAGCAGTTCTGCTAGCATCAGCCACATTGTCATGAATTATGACAACAGAAATCATCCTAGAGTGAATCAAATTATTAATTGATTTGATTAACTTTTGTTTTAAACCTTTTGTCTATGACAAGGTATCTGCAGAAAAACATTAATGATAAACAGCCAAATCAATATTTGTTTTGATGGCCTTCATATTTGCCACCACTTGGCTCAAATTTCCACATCTTTCACAAACTTAATACCAATGTTTATTCTTGTGATTGCCTTTTAATTGTGAGCACATGCACGTCTCACCATGCATTAACCCTTTATTTTATTTCCCTTGCAGGTGCCCAGTGCTTCCTAACACAGCTGAACGTTCAGAGAGCTGAACTGCTGGAAAGACTTTCCACCGCTCACAACTTCTGCAACCTGGATGATGAAGACAACTACATTGCAGCCAGCAAGGCAGTGAGACAGGTGAGAGGAGAGACTTTGAGAACAAACTGTACATTTACTGTAGTATTTGACAGGTATTAGGTGAAGCTGCATTACATTCCAGTGAGTCTCACTAAAGTTGTGTCTAAATAGAAGGTGTGAGCAGCAGAACCTCCAGTGACAGTATTGATGTAAAAGTCACATATGTTTTGGATGCACTCAAAGCCCAAAACATAATCACTGTAGCTGCACATGAGACAGATGACTGTAAGCTTTCTTTATCGTTGTACAATTTTTCATTCTTGCTCTGCCTCTTACTCACACTCTGCTCATGTGCTTGCTTCATTTCAGGTCATTCACCAGTTGAAGCAGCTGGGTACAGTGTGGCAGGACGTCCTTCCAGTCAGCATCTATTGTAAAGCCATGGGCAACCTCCTCAACACTGCCATCACAGAAGTCATTGCCAAGATCATGATGCTCGAGGTTTGTCTTTTTCCGATCGCAATACCTCACATATATTTGTCTTGTACCACTGCAGAGGTGTTACTGCAATAAAGTGCACATGGATTTTAGAATTATTTTTATTTATTTTTTAATCTCTAAGATTTTAGAGACCCGAATGGGTAGTCATCCCAGGTTTTCAATAGCAAAAATGTCTTCTGATTCTGGACAAAAACTGATCTGAGAGTGGAATTATGAGGATCAGCTGGATGAAAACATACATTTGCTTAGGTGGATGGCACAAATGTATAAAGTCGTAGTCAGGAAACATTGAAGATGGGGCTCTATGGTGGGTCAGGTGATAAGTTCATCATAAAGTACATGCCCACTAAACAGATCCTGATAGCTGGTTTCACTTTGCATACAGTCTTTGGTTGACAACATGTAATTAATTCACACAGTCTCTTACCATAATAAAAAGCATGTCAGGGTATTTGGTCAGATATAAAGATGCTCTGTGACATACTCTAAAGTGTACATAATCAATGAATAATAAGGATTTTGTTTGTCATTTCACTGTCTGCAGGATATTTCATCTGAGGACGGGGAACACCTCCACACTCTATGTCAGACCATCATTGAGGAAGGACCGCTGGTCTTCATCCCTCTGGCCGAGGAGCACAAGAACAAGAAGTATCAGGAGGAGGTGCCACTCTACGTGAAGAAGTGGAGTACGTTCAAGGAGCTCGTCATCGTGCTGCGAGCAAACCTGCAGGAGATTGTCGACAGGTAAGAATGAAACTTCATAGCAAAATATGAATAAATAACATAGAATAAGTAAACCACAGTCTGAAGTGTTGGCTCAATTTTTACACACAGGCAATAAGTTGCACAATTTCCCAAATATGTTTTTATGGAAAGCAAATGTACTTATTGTATGTAGTTTGATTTTATTTGTTCTGCCTGTATGATACCTGTAATGTTCAGATATTATTCATTATGGAAATGTAGCAAATTGCAGTCAGAGCTTTAACTAATTTCAGTGACTATTGTCATGTTTTTTTGCTGTTCTATAGTTTGAATTGTATTAAAGTTTGCTCCAATAAGCATTAAGTTGTAGTGTCAACTTTAAAGGTTGCAGTCGGAAAGATTTTTTTAGAATTGAAGTTAAGGTGACCAGTTAAGGCCAAGATAGACCAAGTCTAACTCCAAAAACACTGCCACAGAAGCCTTTATACCACTGCTTTAACATGCTTAGTAGTATTCTTATTGACAAGCAGACTGACTTAAATTGTCCATTTTTCCAAAATGTTTTTTGATGTATTGCATCAGACAAAATTAATGGAAGTTCATTCAATCATTTATTTATTGAAGCAGTCTGGTTTTATTTATTACCACCTTCTGTATATTATCGCCTTCTTCCTATACAACACAGTCTTTTTGTTTCAAAGTGTTGAATGGAAACAAGCCTAATTTGCATGTCTTTTTTTTTCTCTCTCTCTCTTTGCTACATTTTAAAAGTTTGCCCCAAATTGTAAATTTTCCCAGTGAGGGATTAATAAAGTTCATCATGGCTAATGACAATGAAAGAACCACTGTATTTTTCTACATGTATGGTATTAATGTGTGTGTGTGAATGTCTGATTGGTCTGATTCTGCTCCACAGGTGGGCTGACGGTAAAGGTCCGCTGGCGGTGGAATTCTCCAGTTCGGAGGTGAAGAGTCTGATCCGAGCCTTATTTCAGAACACAGAGAGGAGAGCTGTTGCTCTGACCAAAATCAAATAGATTCTTGGAACACAGAAACACCAAGAAGATACTATAGCACTTTTTCCTCTTTGGAAAATACGACTCACGCCTTTATTCATTTCTGTTTTCTGTTATATCCATAGATATAAACATTTACATGTGTGTAGGCTGAACGGTTTGAAATGGATGCATCGTGTGGTGGAGTTTCTGTCTCTGGAGTTATCAGCTTGGTGTAATCAATCTGTGCTTCTTCTCAGCACTCTGACTGCAATTAGTCCTACAGAGATTACACGAAGGCTTCTTTACATCAGCGTCCTGCAGCCTCAGTCATATAGCTTTGGGGCTTTACCACCACAAAGCCAACTGGGGTTGTGTAACCAGTGACTTAACATCTGTTGACATGTGCTGCAAGATTCAGTGTTAACTTTGCTGCACGTCATTAATCAAACTTTTCACCCTGGTTTGTTTCAGAGGTCTCGGCTTTTTGTACTGGTTGTACTGACTGAGTCTATTTGATGACATTTGTTTAAACACGAAAATGACGATGAAGTTCTGACAAACGCACTCTGGACCTTACGTTTATTATTAAGGATTCACATGTACAAGCCATTAACCCGAAATCCTCAATAATGTATTTATTTCTTGTCCAAATAAACCCAAAGACTCAGAACGTTTTCTAAACTGTTTGTTTTTAATGAATACTGTGACAACGTGAGTATGCTGCCAAAAGGAATATGCAACTTCTCCTATTTTTATTAGCAGCTGTGTATTTGCTATATGTAGATTTCTTTCCCATTTGTTTAGTCTTGAGTGAATTCTTTGTCCTCCATAGAACATACATTCATCTCCTATAATTCCGAATGTGTTTAGTTGGACCTTTTCTCTCCATCAGGGAAATTTTTAACTAAATGGGCAGTTAGTATGAGCCTTGATCGCCCATATTGCAAGAGATTGATTTACAAAAAAAAAAAATACAGGTTTTCCAAGAGTACTGAAAAACTTAGAAACTTTAAGAACAGTCCTCAAGTCCTGAAAAAGTTTTGATATTGTCATCTTTTCCTTTTTGCAGACAGTCAGATCTCTACAACAGCTGACAGCAGAAATGATGTTCAGGCAGCAGATGAAGTTAGCTTGGCAGGGTGAGGCTGAAACGCTCTGAATGTCCCACAGAGTTGTGGGTTTTATATTCACAATGATTCACGTCAGGTTAGTGTTGATAGTTTCCTGAATTGTTGTGATCAGGATGGAAAATCACTGTACAGCCAGAAGTTGTCCTGATTTTAATACATGTTATAAAGAGAGGCAGGGCTCCAGACTGACTTTTTCACTGGTAGCACTGGTGCAACCAACTTTCTCATTTGGTCGCACCGCCTATCTGGTCACAGGCAAAGCATAAGACTTGCTGAACATTTTCTTATCGATAGACACTACAATTTACCGATGTTCCCTAAACGCCTCAAAATACAGAAGACTGTAGCTGCTGTTGGTATCTGTGGTCTGCTCAGACAGATGTGCGAGCAAAAATGACTTTAAAAAGAGTTAACTTGGGCGTTGTCACGTCAGATTTGTCCTACATGAAACCGAGTGATTTTATTAGTTTTTTTACATGCACTCTTTTCTATGAGTGGAAAAAAACAGCGAATGCAGGTGTGCTCCGTTTTTCATGGGAAGACCCCATTTTTAAGCGTAAATAGTGCAGTACACTGAACTTATAAGAGTACTGCTTTCCACCCTGTGGTTAACAGAGCAACTTCCTGTGCCAGTTACAGCGACACTAATATAGCCTCAAGATCATCATGCACGTTATTGATGCACAAGTGAATGAAGAGTGTATGATGCATAATGTTATGTTAAGCACAGCAAATTTTGTTGTATTTCTTGGTGCAATGACAAGAAAGCTTTCGGATTCTGATGCACTCACACCAATGCGACCACTTGAAATTTTAACTTGCACACTAAAAAAAAAAAGTAGAGCCCTGAGAGGGACTCATTGTATAGTATGATGTCTGTGAAAATGTCAAAGAAAATTACCTCAAAAGAGTGTGCGTCCTGTCATAACATTAAAATACATTGAACACCTGCATGTTTATGGAATTCTAAGTGTACGTGTGTTCATCTCCTGCATTGCATTTGTAAAAAAAGGACTTGATCACATTTTTAATCTGTAGAGTCTCCCTGAGGGTAAAAACTTAAAGTACTACCTCTATTAAATATGCTGTTATTATTAATGCCCTCCAAACAATATAAATATATAGTTATGTGTCAAGATGACATTAGTTTGCCCTTTGTACCACTATCAGGCCAAAATGAAAGAGAAATCAGAGAAAGCACATTAATGCTGCTGAAAGGATCCATCCATTCATTGTCGATACACCGCTTAATCCTCACTAGGGTCGCGGGGCGCTGGAGCCTATCCCAGCTTGCTAAAAGATGAACCATTTTAATTTTAGACACTTAATAAACTCAGTAAAAGTACATTTAAAACAACTTCAGTGTGCTAAATTCCTGCAGGTTTTCGGTTGATGTGTACAATGGAAGCTTAATTTCAAGAAAAGCGCTATTCCAATAACCTGAATGAATATTGATTATGATTAAAAAATAAAAAGTGACAGGATTCTGTCAGAGCCACATGTAGAGCTTTGGGTTGAACTTTGTCAGTGTCTGTGCCGTTAAAGATGCAGGGGGAGGAGACAAACAGCTGGACGGTGGAACTGCAGCAGCTCTTTACTTCAAACTGTCTCCACCTTCATGTGATGAACCGGATGACTGCAAGGAAGTTTCATTCTGCCAGCTGCTGTTTTCCTCTTAAGGTTTGCTCTGTAGAGGTACGTGATGGCTTTCTCTTTCATATTGTGTAAACTTGAAAGCTTCTGTAGTCATTATTACTCAGCTCAGTGTGCTACGCTGTTTTTGTGGTATTTTGTACCAATTTGTGAATTTTTAAAAATTCTTTTAAGGCGCCATTTTAAAAAAAAATTTATTGACATTTTTGTTTAATTGTTTTCTTTATTCTTTAATTGACAGTTGATTAACAAATGTATTGTATGAAAAAATAGTAAAAAGCGGCTCAGATTTCAAGGTGACACAAAATGTTTTATTAAGAATATTCAGTCTGTTGAACTGAGGAAAAGCAGGAACCACAGAATTTTTTGGAAAGAGTTTGGAATTTTTTATTTAAAAAAATGTATTGATCTCTTACATCTCAATAATATGATTTCCCATCTGTTACCTGGAAATAACTAATACATGGAAAAACAGAGATAGTGGACAGTAGCTCCAAGTATTTGCTGCCAAACAAAACCTTAAATGTTTCAGTTTGAGTGCAAAATATGTGAAAATGTGACTTTTGTTAATGTTAAAAATACACGAAGAGAAAAGTTTCTTCTAATAAGTTATAAAGAAATGAGAGTTTACTTTGGCTTATATTGAGCTTGTCTTTCAGTGAAATTCTGATTTTCCCTTTGAAACAAATATTGTTTATTATTAACTATCAGTGGCTTCCAGGTAACTTCTCTAGTTAGTAAAATGTTATAAAATAGTCATGTATTAAATGTTAGTATAATTTTAATATCACAGTTTTGAGCATGTTGTTTTATATTGTTGCACATTTAAATTGAAGTATTACATAACATCAGTAATAACAATAATAATGATATTTTGTAATAGTAATAATAATATTTTCTAATAATAGTACCACTAATACTTGTGTGTGTTGGATATTCACACCGCCCCTTACTTCAAAGTAACTATAGTTCCTACCTATTTGCACATAAATGTTTATATGTGAAGTATGGCAAGCAACTCTTTGATTGTATTTACTTATAGACCACCATTTCTTCAAAAATAATTTTGAAGGATGGCTGGCATTTTTGTAAAGGTGTTTTTTTTTTTTTTCTTGCTATGCATGTTATGTGAAAACATGACATATTTCCTTTTCAACATATAATGAGATAGAAAATCAAAATGTCTCTTCCTAAATCCATTTACTGGTAACTTAAAATAATCCAGCAACTCTTGATACACAATGATAGGAATACATAGACATTCAGGCTGTGACTCAGTAACTTGAGCTAAAGGAACAATTGTTTATGTGTTTGTTTGTTGGTTGGTTTCCTGCCTGTTGCCTCAAAGTACAATCCTGTCCATCGGATTGGCTGTGCTCCGTAGTCATAGATGTACCACACAGGCCGGTGACACGTGTTTTCAGGATTAAAGAATGTGTTCACATGTTGCATGTGTGAGTGTTGCTATACAGTGAGCACAGCACGTTTTGAAGATTTTCTTAAGAGACAAGTGAATTTCCCACAGTTCATCTGGTCACATCTGGACAATGCCTTCTCTAAGCCTTCAGGCAAATACAGTCAGTAATCTTTTCAAATCCATCGTGTTCCTTGGTGTTTCTCAAATTAATTTGGAGGATTAGCGATAATCCCAAATGTGCAATAAATTGCAGCAGTGACTGAGACACTGATCAGCCCACTTCAGATTGATGAAACCTTGTGTTATGCTGATGACAACATTTGCTTTTAGCACATCATTATAATATCATCACAGCTCTACATAATCTATCGGGCATGAATGGATTACTGAGTAGGCCTACTGGGCACAGGATCAGGGGCCCGAGGAGTCTGGGGGCTCTGGTCCAGAGCCTTGTCTGAAGTGAGGATTAATGTTTGTTGTTGGAAAGTCATTCAATCAACCGTAAAGACAAAGATGTTTAAAATTCCTCAAAACAACTACAAAGAGTTACGAAATGTCAACAAATGGTCAAACAGAATCAGAAAGACCAGAAACAGTAACATACTCATGGAAAAGAGATGCAAAATGAACACAAATTATATACAGATGGGCTGCAAAGACAAAAAAGCCTCGAAAGGATGCAAAATAGCTGCAGAGAGACACAAAACAACCACAAAAAGATTCAGAATCACTGGAAAGTTATGCACCCAAATGTTGCACCAACAAATGTATTTTTGCAAGTTAGATAGTGTGTGGGAGTCTGTTTGAACCTGAAATACATGCAAAAGGACAGCAAGGAGACACTACTAGATGCAAAATGAACCCAAAGAGATACATAACAACAGCAAAGTAGCATCAAAGGATAACAAAAAGGCACGAAACGGGAAACAAAATGACCAGGAAGCAAAATGAACACAAATAGAGGCAGATTCACTGCAAACAGAAACGAAAGCACCTCTAAGGACCACTACAAGATGCAAAATGGCTGCAAAGAGATGCAAACCAAGCACAAAGAGACTCAGACATGACTAAAAAGATATGGATACCACTAAAAAGAAATCCATCCATCCATTATCTATACACTGCTTCATCCTCACTTGGGTTGTGGGGGGCTGGAGTCTATCCCAGCTGACTCAGGGCGAAGGCAGGGGACACCCTGGACAGGTCGCCAGTCTGTCGCAGGGCTACACTCAGAGACAGACAACCAAGCACACTCACATTCACCACAAAAAAGAAATGCAAAATGAAAATATACAAACGCAAAAGACAAACAGAACGACCAAAAACACATTAAAACTTACTAAAAGAGACACAGAATGACCACTAGTACTAGAATAAACACATCAGCTTCATTTGTACTCATGAGAGATGCTGTTACTGACTCCTTTCTTTGCCCGAACAGAAACCTGGAGAGTGATCCACGTCCCGAAGACGCCCAGCAATGACCTCCGCTGTGATCTGCAGCAGAGAGACGCTACAAAACATTCAGAGCAACAATCACATCAGGAGCGCCATCAGGATCGAGCCTCGCAGGAACTCCATCCCCCCAACGCAGACTCTCACTGCCAAACATCTTCTGGCGTATCTGCCCAGACCTCAGTCAGGATCCGTCCGTTACTCTCCCTACACCTGCAAGGTACAGATTTCTGTTGTTCACTGAAAGTCATCACTTGTTCTTTACAGTTGTGTAGGCTGAGTAGAAAAATATGTCCTAAAAGTAGAAACAGTGAAAGCATAAATGTAAATTGTGCTTTTCCTAAGCAAATAAAGCAAACACAAAGACACAAACCCTCAACAGAGAACCTCAAAGTCACCAGAAAGTTATGCAAAATGTACACAAACAAATGTAAATAGAGCTAAAGTCACTGCTAGGATACACAAAAGGACAGCAATGAGACAGTAATAGATGCAAAATAGCTACAAAGAGATGTAAAACTACCACAGAGACATAAATTAACATTCATTATGATTCAATGCAACACTGTTTATAAGGTATAATGAAGCTACATAACCTTTTAACCACCAGTGACGGTATTCTGTAACTGTAGCAAGCTCTTAAACCATTTAGAATAATTAGAATTAAAAGATGTCTGACGTTGGTCTTAAATCATTTGATGTTTTTGCTGCTAAAGCTTTGTTTGTTCATGTGCTGAGCATCTGTGTATTTGCACAAAATAGGATCTGTAGCGCAGACCATATCCACTGAACTGAAGGTATTCTTGAGAATCTGGCAAAAGACGTCCACATCACAAATATCCACAGCCTCATTTATGTGTCACTTTTGAAAAAAACTACAGAATGATGCAGCTTGTGAATCTACACAACTTTTATTTGCATTTCGTAACTGTTATCCACTCTTATCTGTCCTTTCAGGCTGCAGCTAAATCCACTGTTGCTTCCATGATGCTCCCAAAAAGAGGTTCTCTAATGACCAACTTCAGCTACGTCAACGGATCGTCCCTCCCACCATCCCAGGAGCCGTCTCCCTCCCAGGCCCAGAGTCCAGGCAGCCAGTCCTCTCAGACGTTCGCTCCGGCTAAACAAGAGCTTCCTCAGCAGCACATCGTCCAAGTAGCTCCTCTGGAACCAGTAGAGGAGACCTTGAAACCTCAGGGCTCCAATCGCAGCAGACAATTCAAACGTTTCGCTGTCAGATGGCAGTCGAGGGGCTCCACCAGCAGCTTCCACAGCTCTGAGAAGTTACGTGGTGCAAAGAGCCACAAGAAGCGCTGTAAGCTGCTGGGCGACGAGCACACGTTACACGTCGCCGCCAGCGCCCAGCGCCAGCGTTACGTCACCAAGGATGGCAAGTGCAGGGTCAATCTGGGACCTATTGTTGACAAGTATCGCTTCATCTCAGATATTTTCACCACATTAGTGGACCTCAAGTATCGCTGGTTCCTTCTTGTCTTCACTACTTGCTACATTCTCACTTGGGTGACCTTTGGGGGGATCTACTTCTTTGGTGCCTGGTTGCGTGACGACATCGCTCACGTCGACGACCCCGAGTGGAAGGCGTGCTATGAAAACGTCGACAGCTTCCTGTCAGCGCTGCTTCTGTCTCTGGAGAGCCAGAGGACAATTGGGTATGGCTCCAGGATGGTGACGGCGAATTGCCCTGAAGGCGCGGTATTCCTGATGATCCAGTCCATCGTTGGCTCCATCATCGACGCTCTGATGGTGGGCTGCATGTTTGTTAAAATCTCCCGCCCGCAGCAGAGAGCCCAGACTCTGATCTTCAGCAAGCACTGCGTCATCTGCGAGCGCGACGAGAAGCTGTGCATGCTCTTCCGCATTGGTGACCTGAGAGAGAGTCACATGGTGGACGCCAAGATCCGTGCCAAGCTGATCAAGTCCAGGCAGACCAAGGAGGGCGAGTTCATCCCACTGGAGCAGTCGGAGATCAATCTGGGCTACGACACTGGAGGAGACCGGCTGCTCCTGGTGGAGCCTCAGACCATCACCCACGTCATCAACGAGAGCAGCCCCTTCTGGGAGGTGGGGGCCAAGCGTCTGAAGAGGGAGACATTTGAGATCATCGTCATCCTGGAGGGCATCGTTGAAGCATCAGGTTTGTAGTTTTAAGTTTTGTGCTGACACAGCTGCATTTCAAAACTGTCTTGAAGTGAGAGTTGTCCAACAGTTAAATTGAACAGCTGTGAAGGGTGTGCATGGATGGAAAAATGATGCTTGATGTCGTGGATACAGCTTCGCTCTGTCCTGTCTGACTCTCTTTCTGATTGCTTAGTTTATATATACATTATTTTTTAGAACATTATTTGTGAGCATTTGAGCCTTTATTGCAGAGTAGTTGAAAAGAGACAGGAAAGGTGGGGAGAAGAGAGGAAATATCATGCAACAAATCCTGCCATGGGTCAGGATCGATCCATGGTAACTGTATCTGGGATTTTCAGCCTCTATTCATGAGGTGCTGCTTTATATTTAAGCATCATCGAGCATGTAGTTTGTGTGTTGTTTCTGACCAGTTGTTAGTTGAAATCCTCTCTGGTTGTTTATTTAGAATTAAAGGTATATATTTAGACATTTTTTTCCGTTAACATAGTGCAATACTGCCTAAGAATGAATTAGATGTGTCTTTATACCTGTTGTTTCCTCTGAAATATGCAAATCTATTAAGCCCCTGTCTCTATTTACATCCACATCTCTCTGTGTGCTACAGCTCGAGCACACAAGGTCACCTAAAACTCTGCTCAAACACTGCAAAACTGCTCTACTTTACACCATGGAAGGGTGCAATACTGAAGTAACTGAGCCCCACATATTCTGAATAATGATACATAAAGTCTCATCCTGCAGGTTGAAAGTATTGATTCTTTAGATTTGCTACGTATGAAACCCCAGCAGTCTGAATTAGTGTTTTAAGACTGCAGTTTCAAGAGGAAAATGCTCAGCCATGTTGTTGACTCTCTTATTTTACTCATCTTCTGGCATATGAAAAACAACATATGAACACAGTAACAAGACAAAAAACTTGTAGGGGTTTGTAAAAACTGTGATTTAGTTGCAGGACTTTACGCTCACTGTTAATTCCTGGGATGTTGAGAAGCTTATTGTATTTTCTAAACAATCACTGGGAAACCTGACAGCAACAGAAGGCGTCTTTAGGCTGCTAAGCTGAAGTGATTTGACTGCGTTTGAGTTGTTGCTTCCTGTAATGTTTTTTTTTATACTGTATGCGGGACAAAGCAACATTCGTTTGGAGGTTTGATTATACACTTTGGGCCAATAAACAATCTTTATGGCATTTGTAGGGTCTAAACCATTGTAATAATATTATATTACTTACCATTTCCTTCATTAACTAATGGTGAAAGTCTGCTGCATTTGGTAGGAGCAGTGTCAGTCGGGTCTGATTTAACCAAGTTTGTCCAGCAGAGTTTCACACCAACAATGCTGAACAATAAACCCAGAGGTTACTGTTTACTGTCTGAAACTACCTTATTTTAGTGTTTTTGACAAGTTCGATTTTTGTAATTAATACTGTAAAACAAGACCAGACCATGTTCTTGAAAAAGCTGCATTCATACGGGTTGAGAATGTGCAAGTGGGGATGGAAGGCCAGAAATGGAAGGGATAATAAATTTGCGTAGGTCACTTAAAATGCAGCCTTACAGTATGTATGTAGTGATTAAATGTAATTCACAATAATTTATCTGTTTTGGGTTTTTTTCCCTAATAACTGCTTTTGTTTGTGCTGCAGGTATGACATGCCAGGCGAGGACATCCTACACAGAGAACGAGGTCCTGTGGGGCCACAGATTTGAGTCGTGCATTTCTTTGGAGAAAGAGGCGTTTCGAGTGGATTACGCTGCATTTGACAAAACCTTCGAAGTCCAAATGTCTCCACTGAGCTCAAAAGACAGAAGCACAGAAAAGGACCAAGAAATTGGGTTTTAGAAAATGAAAGCATCTCTTGTTTACAGAAGCTGAGAATGGACGCTGGTTGCAGTAATCTTATCTGTTTTCTCAAGATGGCAAGTTAAACATGTGGCAAGAAAACAACAGGTGAACCAGAAAATGACTCTCAGCACCAACCGCCAACCACGACCAATCGCAGCTTCTGTACCTCTGTCTGTACAATAGTATTTCATAAATGACTATATCGTCATCATATTCATCAACATTAATCTCAGGGTAGACATCTTTTCAGTTGTTTTGCTGTTAATGTAATAATATTTGCAGTGTGGTTTTAGCATAATATTCCATTTGAGTCTGATTTAAAGAACCTCAAGTGAAATCTTTTGATGCAGTCGGCTGAACTGGTGATTTGGTCAGTATCCACAGCCATATCTCTCTACCATATTCTGGAAGTAACTTCAAAATGGAACAAAACCTGTAACAATAAGAAATGTTAATGTTATGCGTATATTGTATCACAAAATGAAAATAAACACCCTGTTAAACCTCGCTGTCTGTGGTCTTGTCTGGGCAGTGAGAACCAGCGGCAACATGGGGAAAAACACTCTTGACGCAACGGTCCATGTGGCTTTTTCTGGGTGTTTTAACTCTACCGTCTTCATTCAGGCAGTGAAGCTGTTATTTAACATAACAGTGGAACCAAATACGTGGTAACATCAGCGAAAGTTAATGTATAAACTTAAAACACTTACTATAGAGCAGAATGTCCCTGGCAGTGTTTTATCATCGCAATACTTCACAAAGAGTTGGACAAATCGATGTAAGTTTAGGAATTTTTGTCAGATGTTTTATCAGCTATGTTGTCAGATAACTACTGTCAGATAAATGTCAAGTCACTGGTAGTTATACAGTCAGTGCTTTCCACTACAGTACAGCAATACAGTATTATAAAATGTGAAAATATACTAGACTAACTTAAATAATAGGCTTAAAACCATATATTATTTAATAACCAAATGTAACTAATTTAAATGTTAGAAAATTGACTCTATGGTGCTATTTGCTATATAAATTTCCCTGACTAATAGTATTTTTATTTTATATATATATATATTGACCTGGCTAATTTAAATATTATGGTTAATCCTCGATAAAATTACATTAATTTACCTGAATAAGTAAATATCACACTTATGACCCTACAATATTATATAATATGCACATTTCCAACATGAGTAAGCATTTTGGTGACAGGATATGAAAATAAAAATCCTCCAGTAAGGTAGAAATATCTGAAAAATATGTCAATAAAGTACTGTAATAAATGTACAATTTAATTCTACTTCTGAATATTCTTAAATTAAATTTGATGTAGACCGTTTTTGGTTGATATTTCTCATAGACGATGTAAAAAATGGTTCCTGTCGTCCCCCAGCAGCTCTGTAGGGGACGCTGACTCACGGAAACGTGAATGTGACCGCCCGGAATTCCACTGAAGAAGAAGTAATGTCAGCAGAGCAGCATGATGGGATATGAGAGTCCTCCGGCGGCGCGCTGCCGCCATGTCACCGAGAGAGAAACATTTAGCGCTGCTCTCTGTTATAGGCCTGGTTAGTCTCGCTTTTTATTATATTCCTACGTTTCTCTACGCGACCTTAATTCTTGCAGTTTGTTGTTTTGCTTGTTACTATCACAGCGGCGAACCTCTTCCCGCCAGGTTAGGCCCGAATCCGCGGGGTGGGCTGAGCGTCCTCGGCGTGCTCCGACGCTGGCTGTGGGGTTGGGGGGACACCGGCGTGTCGGTGGGCGCCCGGGGGAGGACGAGGAGCAACAGCAGCACCAGAGCCGAGCTCCGGGAGACGGAGGGACACTTTAGACAAAGCCTCGGGGAAACTGGGATTTATCGAAGGGAAGCTTTGGCGAGTGACTCGTTTCTTTTCAGCCCCCGGGATTTCCTCATGGGGAGCTACATCGGGAAGCCCGAAAGCCCAACTGCCGACCCTGGGAGGCCGAGGCTCGGGAGAAACCCCCGAGAGCAGCTACGGGAAAAGCTGTCCAGACCCAACCATGCTGTCTACACTCCGAACAGGAGGCTTTCCTTTGCTGGGTATGTTCATGGAGTCAAATCACGTTACAACAACGTTAAGCAGGCGGCGGAGCTGTTGGCGTCCAATAGATAAACGTTCAGCTTCTTGGCGGGTTTTAATGATTAACTCTTGAGCCGTTTGAACTGTTTATCGACACACACTCAAAAGAAAACACGCTTTAACTTGACGAAAAGCTGTATACATCTACAAGTTAAAGGAAGTCCCAATAGTAGTAAGATTTATTGTAATATACAGCACAAGAAGGGCGATCTATCATACATCATCCTTTATGTACTCAGTATATATAGGATATATATTATAAGTTATAATTAGAACCTTGTCGTAAATACCAGTATTGTCAACTTGTTTGCTGTTGTAATGATTGTATACTTAGCTTGTAGTTGATATGAAAGATTGAAATATGAAAGAACTAGAAAACATAACTGGTTTTGGTTTTTAATTATAGTTAGTTTACTGGTTTAATAACTACACTCTAATTTATTTTTGAAGTACAACATTGTAGGCTTTACACTGAAAAGAACAATAAAGTCATGTGTATTTAGTCTCTAAAATGCCAGAAAATCATGAAAACTATCCATCAGTGTTTCCCAAAGACCAAGATGAGGTCCTCAAATGCCTTGTTTGGCTCACAATCCAGAGATATTCAGTTTACTGTCTTAGCTGCTTCGAGACACCAGTAAATATTTCCAGTTTAGTAGCTGGAGTATTTTTTATTTATTTATTTTTTACTTTTTTCAGTTTAAAAAGACTCTTGCATTTTGATTAAATTACTAGAATAGTTAACAATTAGTTTCTTAGTTGACAACTAGTGGTATGATTGCCACTCTAGTTTGTTCTATAACTTATTTGTTAACCTTTAGAATATGAATGTAGGAAATGTAATCACATCGCTTTTTAACTACTTTTAGTCATGTCTATTTTTGGTTTCCCGTCGTATGTGTGCTACAGCAGCCAGCTGCTAGGGCTGAACGATGTAGTAACTAATGTGTTTATTTTTCACTGAAACAAATAAAATAATGCTAATGTCATTTTTGCTGCTATCTGCACCCAACAAGCATGTTCCGTCATTTCCAGAGGATATGATTTGTTGGCCAGGCCATCTCTGTTGCACCACAATTCTTAATTGGTAATAGTACTTTTGTGACACAAGTAACCTTTATCACAAGTTGCAGCTCTTGCCCAATAGTGCACTTGACTATAATGCGGTTTCAGTAATATTGCGAGAAAGTGTTGAGTCTTAAGGCAGTGTGACATCTCAGTAGTTTTTGGTTTCTTTATTTCTTTATGACAGTAAACTGAATATCTTTGAGTTGTGGGCAAAACAGCACATTGGAGGACGTCATCTTGGGCTTTGGGAAGCATTGATCAATATTTTTCATCACAAGGGCAAATGTAAGGGGGGAAAAAGCAGCAATTTAAGCTACAAAACAACTTTTTATGATGTCTAAGATGTCAACTGTGGTAAAATGTTTGCTCGTGATGAAACCATCATTTTGAGTCCTACATTTCGATAGACTATGCTGGTCTAACATTGTGTGTGGAGATGGAGGGCAGAGTGAAATGGTGCAGTGCTTGGAAAAGTTAAATTTAGATGGCTGGCAAACATGTTACCATTCCCGGCAGAGGGTCAGTGGGACAAAAAATACCTTTGAAAATCTAAATACAGATTTTCACCAAGACTTTGTGACCATTATAGAGCAATATTGAAAGAGCAAAAGCCACAAATTAGGCTCCATATCATATAGATGTGTAACATCTTTGCTGTATTTTTTATATGATGTATTTGCAGGGAGCCACTGGGCGCAGTGGGCAGGTTCACCATCACCCCACAGCGTCACTACCCCTTGCAGCAGCCGGGCGTCTCATCAGTAGGAGTCCTGCCTCCTGTCAGATGGGACGGTTTCAGAAAGAAAAACATCCTCAGCCCTCGTAATTCACCGGCTGCCCTCAGCCCTGTCACCGTCAAGATCGCCAGGCCCGACCACAGCAGCCCCAGGTCTCTACAAATACTCTGCATCACATCACTGTGTACTGTTTTCATTGAATGATCACAAACCATCACCCTGAGTCAGATGTTGGTAATAATAATGACTTAGATTTTTTTAAATGAATTGTGCAGTAATGCAGCTTCAGAATCAAGCTGCATCTTTTGTATTAATGTCCATACAGTCATCTTCCAACATGGTTTGTCTTTAAGCTATGAATGTTAAGTATTTCTTGACACCATCAACTCATGAGATTGTTAACGCCACAAGTAGTTTTTTATTGAACCACAGTATATCTTTGCAATATGTGTTGACTAATATTGTCTCTGGTGCTTTTTAAAACCCTCATTTGTGTCTCAGGGGTCTCTGGTGGTTTTCCTGCTTGAATGTTAACACTGACCAGAGCTGCACTGTCTCCTGTTTCTGTTTTCAGTTTGGACCACCTGAGTTGTGCAGGACTCTCCAGGGCCCCTGCAGACCCCTGCTCCAGAGAAAGCGTCCTCAGGGTGTTGAAGGAAAGCCGCAAGAGAGAAGTGGAGGATGAGGACAGGAGCTTCATAGCTGAACAGAAAAGCAAAAGAAGGTATCAGGCTGAAGCAGAGTCTGAAAGGCAGCACATGAAACACTCCATTTATATTTGCTCCATGGTGTAGTTTGGTCACTGTGTCTTATCAATTTCATCTGATTGCTCCACAAAATTGCAACTCACAGAAAGTATACTATTACTAGATATATTTTGGCTTTTTTGTCCCTCTTTATATGATCCACTAATGTGCTTATACACTTACATACCTGCTTCTTCATTTTTATTAAAGAGAAAAGGTGTGAGCTTGGTTATTGTGGCAGAAAATCTTGACAGTCTCCATTTTGCCTCTATACCCAGAGGATCTTATCTGAATGGGAAATAACAAGAGCCAATGCACACAAAATACTTTGCAAAGAGAATTGCTCTGTTAGACAAAACAGTACTGTGAGAATGTGTTGATAACCTTCTGATGTTATAGAACAAGTAACATGGTAAGTAAAACTATAGAAAAGTAGCCTACAGATGTCTTCAATTCCCAATTGGTATTTTGACAAAATATAGACAGCACGTTATACGAGGTGGACCTAATGTGGAACATGAACACAGTAATAAAGCTTTATTGTGGTTTTTAGGCAACATCTGCCCTGTAAAGTTGTGAAGAACATGAGAAATATCACTGAAACCCCAAACAGCACAAAGAAGCATTATAACTGGTCTGGTTTAAGAGAATGTCTGACCCAGTTTTTAAACTGTTCTGTCAGTGATTCTACAATTTCATGCCATCATCACACTTTTGATAGTATCTTGTGGTAATTCCCTGCCTTTTTATTTTATTTCTGTTACTCAGTAAATACTGAATAGAAGCAGGACAAATCAAAATATCAGTGTTTGTCTGAGGAAATATCAGTTATGCATTTTCTCCAAATCATTCAGCTCTACTTCATACCCTGGATTCCTGCTTTCAGTTGACTGAGATCATGTTTTCCTTCTGTTTTCATTTGTCAAGGCGTAATGACAGCGGTGGAAGTGCACACTCTGCATTTGAGCCTCTGTTGCCCAACGGAACGCCATCACAGCTGGTTCCTAAGTGAGTCAAACTGTTCTGAAGCAGCATCAAGCTGTTGGATCTTGTCTTTGACAAGTCCACATGTGAGCAAGTGTAGGTGTAAATGTTTTCCCTGCCTTTCTCCAGACCAGGAAGCCTGAAACGAGGGATGACTTCGGTAGCGGAGGAGTCCATCATGAAGAGATCTCGCACCTCCTCCATCAGCTCCGGCAGTGGGGTCCATGCCCCAAGAGGAACCCCGGGCTCCAGAAGAAACGCTATTCAAAGCTCCTACAGCTCCACACTCGGCCTCAGCCAGGTACCACTAACCTGTACAGTAATACAGTATTATAAAATGTGTATCACAGTACACATAAGGATGTAAAGGACATAAAGAGGAGCTGTGATGCTTTAAATCCATGTTTGCTTTCACAGTGGAAGAAACCGTCAGCACCCAGCTCCCCTCTTTCTAGCCCCGGATCATCTCGCTCTCAGACTCCAGAGGGAGCCTCCAAAAGAGCCAGGTACATCTCTGCTTCCCAGCCACTAGTCATCGACATTTCACGTAATATTACAGTTTGTAACCTGTGATTTTGTTACCAGAGAGGACGATGGACAGTCTCCCAGCTCAGCATCCTCAGTGAGGTCGGAGCAGATGGCCTCTGACAAACCTCCTGTTACTTGTAAGTCTCATTTATGTAAGTCTTGAGTAGTTGAGAAAAGTTCTTCAGGCCTCAGATTATTTAAGTCTAAACAACATTAAGAGGACACTTTAACTGATAATTAAAGATGCATAAGGCTACTTTGCCCAGCGGCCATTAGAGGCCACATTGATTGGACTTCATTTCCACAAAGTGAAAGTCATTTCCCTTCTCGATCAAGAACCTATTTTTATTTCTAATTTTCCAACATAAGGCTTCCTCGACTCTAAACCTACTGAATAGCTGCAGTATCTCTGTATTAGGCTTTTAACATGAGGTGCGCACTTTGTCTTTTGCAGTTTCAACATAGTACCAAAAACTAGAAATCTCACGTTTCTCCCCCTGATGCAGTTCTGTTCCTTCATCTCAGGGTATCTGCCAATAAGGAATACTCATCTGTGTACTTTAGACTGTGCAGTTCAGGTCAAGGCCTTAACCTCTGGGCCAGGGAGTTATTTTTATGGAAACTAACATGAGGGCAGGGATTTACTGTGACACGAAAACTGAGTCCACTGAGCCTAAATGAATGACCAAAGTAGGCATTGGTCAATCCAGCACGTCGGATCAGTGCATCCCAAACCAAAACTTTACTGAGACTGCAATTTCCTTGGATGAAGAATCTAACTTTAAATATTGGACAGAGCTTTAGACTTACTTTACACATACTGTCTGTTATGTGATGATGTTGCAGCCAAACTGACTCCAGTCCCCAAAGTCCCAGTCCCTACCTCAACAGATTCTGCTGGTAGTGGTGGGAAGAGGAAACGGAAGATCCAGCTGGTGTCCAGCCACCGGGATGATCAAATCTCTCTGGTAAGGAGTGCTGCATTCTCAGAAATCACTAGAAACACTCGTTCACACACACAGATTTCTCTGTTTCACTGCTGGTATTTTTTCGTTGGCAGCCTCCACCTCCCGAGCTGGGCTACACGATCACTGTGAAAGATCTGGATGAAGAGAAGAAGGCTGCCATCAGTAAGATCCAGAAGGTCCTGGAGACGCCTGGTGAGTAGAAGCAGCCACAGGAATAAACTATTGAACCTGTGCTGTTGGATGCTGGAAACCTATATTTACACTTACAGACTTATAATCAGTCATTTCGATATTCACAGTTGTCACATGGAGGAAAAATCTCTAAGCCCCCAGCCTGTCTGTAATCTTTGTCTTTATATGTTTTTATTTAGCTTCAGAGCCAGAAAAGTCTGTGTCTCCTCCAGCCACCACTTCCACCCAGCCTGCCTCCTCGACCAGCTCAACCACAACCACCACCCTGAGCAGCCTTCTGGCAGCTCCTCTGCCCACAGCTTCCACCGCTGCCATCCCAGTCATCAACCTGGATCCCAGCCCAGGCAGCAGTGTCAGCACAGCCCCAGCAGCCTCCAACCCACTTCTGGAGGCTCTGAAGATGAAGACCGTTGCTCCTGCTAGTTCCACACCTGCTGCCATCACAGCTACAGGTAAGATCACTGAACCCAGTATACATTGAATCCAGAACCTACCATATATCGCATGCTTTTGGGATTCTTACATGTTTTTCCCACCACATTCGTTGTTTCTGTAGTGTCTGCATCAACCACACCTGCACAACCCAGCAGCCTAAACCTGAAGGTATCGACTACAGCGGATGTTCCACAGCTCCCTCCTGCCTTCCAGTCTCAGTCCTCCTCTGCTGGTGTGGAGCAGCCGTCTGCTTTTACTCAGGTGCTGGCTCAGGCGTCCAAGGCTTCCAGCAGCACTCCACCTATAGCAGGAGCAGGCCTGTTTGGGCTGACCAGCCAAATCAGCACCCCATCTGCTTCTTCAGCCTCCAAGCTAATCACTGCTACTGCTGCTCCAGCCAGCAGCTCTGCGTCTCTCAGTACCACCAACCCTCTGCTGACGTCAGGTTTCAAGCCCATCTTTGCCGTCACCACCACACCCTCAGCTACAACAGCTTCAGAAAGCAAACCTCCTGTACAAAATTTCAAGCCCATCTTTGGAGAGGCCACTTCGGCTGCTGGCTTTGCACAGCCTCCATCCCTCACAACCACCAACCCAGCCTCGACAGTTTCTTCAAGTAGTACATCCTCAATATTTGGGGGATCAACAAGCAGCACCACAGTCGCTCCTTCTGTTTTTCCTGGCATGACCATGACCAACACCCCCACTGGCACAGCGTCCACAGGCTCCATCGCCACTACACAGCCTGCAGCCCCACCTGCTGTCAAATCCCTATTTGGAAACTGGTCCGCACCATCAACAGCAACAAGCACGAGCTCCACAGCCTCGGTGCAGGTTCCTAATACAGGGAGCACATTTCAGTTCGGAGCTGCTGCTACCACCACTACTGCAGCTCCAGCAGCTGCAGCTCCAGCACCAGCAGCTGCCCCCTCTGCTGCCACCACAGCCTCCAGCAAAGGCACCTTCACATTTGGTGCCACACAGCCGGACCCTCAAGCTGCTGGCCAGACGGTATTTTCCTTTGGCCAGACAGCACCCAACCAGAACACAACCACTGCTTCATTTGGAGGCTTTGCCATGGCTAGCACACCCTCCACCACTGCTGCTGCCACCACCCAATCCACTTTCGCCTTTGGAAAGTCAGCATTTGAAACGCCAGCAGCGCCGTCAACCTTCGGTTCGTCAGCTGCGCCACCAAAACCCTTCACCTTTGGAGGCAGTGGAGCATCGTCTACCCCTGCCACTAACCCCGCCCCAGCCCCGTTCACTTTTGGGGCGACTACTGCCACCACAGCAAGCACCTTCGGGACCCCAGCTAAACCAGCATTCGGAGCCAGCTCCACTGGTTTTGCTTTCGGTGGCACCACAGCTCCTTCAGCTGCACCGCCAGCTGCACCAAGCTTCGGTGCAGCGACCCAGACTCAGAGCTCCGCCTCAGCCACCTTCGCGTTTGGCAGTGCTGCTCCTCAGCCGGCTCCCTCCGGTCCTGCTCCGCCAGCAACCAGTGGATTTAACTTTTGTTCTGGTATGCCGTGCCCACAGTTTGGAACACCAGTTTCTAATAATCCTGCACCGCAGATGGGAAGCTTCAACTTTGGGGCTGCTGCTACTGACAAACCAGCTTTTGGTAAGGACTAAACACAGATTTTGTTTGTTTATTTCTTTACTGAACAATATTTTTGGCTTGCTGAAATATTAAAACTTGAGCATGTCATTTGCTGATGGCTAATACCCAAACAGCATACTGGATTAAAAAATATTGGTAGAAATCATTCTCATGATCTCATTTTGATTCTTGGTTATAAATAAAAAAAAAGATGGAACAACAGACCATTCAAAACTTGTGCTTTTAGTCCATTTGATTGCAATATAAAGTTGGAGTTTAGCGAACAAAAGAAGCAGATATGGGTGTTTCAGGGTGTAACTTCTTTTTTTTTTATTTTAAGTTAACTGCAATCATTTTAAGATGGCTTTTGGAATTAAAACTTGAATCTTATCATTGTCCACAACACAATATGGGTGCAGGGCGTCTATGTCCTGCTTACTGTACCGTACACTGATATTTTGTAGTTGCTTGGAGAACTAGTTTACTTTTTTTTCTTCTTCTTTGAATTGTATTTAGATGTTGTGTGCTGCTTTCTTTGCAGGGACGTCAACTCCATCCTTTGGCCAGAGCGCTCCTGCAGGTCCAATTCCCTTTGGAAGTCCTGGAACTCCAGTCCAAGGCTTCAACGCTGTTCCATTTGGTAGGTCATGAATGTACTTTTTAATGGAGGTGGTGGTCTTCGTGCCACAACTGTTAAAAGTAACAGTAGACATTACAGGAAACTATGAGCAGCTTCTCACTGGGGTTTTCTTCACTCCTACTGTGTCTTGCTGACCAAATACCTCAAATTTTGTCAATATCTTTTTAAGTGGTCACCCAGTAAAAAAAAACACATTCCTTCTCACAAACTTCCTGCTGACAGATGTTGCAAATTGATTTTGCAATAACATTTTTCAAGCCTCGAGATTTAAAATATGTGATGGAGTATTACTACATGAGTTACCATCAAAGGTATGATTAAATTTGTAAAATCATTGACATGACAGGTCAAACTCTGGCTTAGGTGTGCTACACATTGGACAAGGTTTGGCTGTTAAATAATGAAGATTGGTTATGTTAAACCAGAGCCAGCAGCCTGAACAATGCAGTATAGATTGATCAATTTGCAGCATAAACAACGCTTGAAAATTTAAATCTGCTCAAATTAAAGTGAATTATAGCACTCATCTTATTTTTTTACTGGCCACACCTCATATATTGCAGATTGCAGCCTTTGCCATTTGCCAATTTCCTTTTTTTTTTTTCAAAACTGTGATTCTGATTTGAATTTGATCCATTGTTCAGCCCGAGCTGTCACACCCGTGTTTATTGCAAGTATTTGGCAACGACAGTTTGTAGTGGTAAAAATTGTGGCTGTGTGAAGTTATTTACTGCTGTGAGGCCACAGTGGACACAAATGCATTCACAGCTTGATGCCGTCAGTGCTGTTAAAGTGGTCTAAAGCAGGCATGAGGATTAACAGCTTAACTTTGAAGGAGTGTTTTTGGCTGGTGCTACTGTGGGTTTTGGCCTTCATTGTTTACGTTCCTCCCTCTTGCTTGAGCTTTACACTGCGGTCATTAACTGATGAAGCATTGCTTTGTTGCTTGTTGCTAATTGTGCGCAGAACACCAGAGCATGAACGCATGACAGTCCAGACGATTGTATACAGCCAGGCTGAAACTACAGCTGCTGTGAAATGCAGAGTGGCTTGATGCTGGCACTGTTAGCACTCTTTCACGGTCAACTCCAGTGTTAAGGTTGGCTGAAGACTCTGGCTCTGCTTACTGTTTTGGCATTCAGTGTGATCGCCAAGTTAGAGAAGCTCTGCAAAGACATCCTGTGCAGCCCAAATTTTCTGAGCATGCAGTTTGGAAAAAGAAAGAACTGGTTTTTTTTTTTTTTTTTTAAGTGAAGCTTCAGTTCACTATTCACCCTGTTAAAAAAATTAGGTCAGACACACTGCATACTAAATTGCAACCTTTGGGATTTGCTAATTGTGTTGTTTCAAATTGTGATTTTGATTTGAATTTTTTCAGCCCAGCCCTCAGCTAATTACAATGCAGAACCTGTTTTAAATACATCACACTGAACATTCAGTTCCACCCTGTTGGATGAGATACAGGGTGTTTCCTGTATCGAGGAATTTTAGCCACACCTCAATGAGATTTGAGCTGGCCCCAAAATAAAAGCACCACAAAATGACAAAAACTGAGAATTTACAAAAATAATGAGTTTTGTCAACTGGGATTTCTTAAGTATATTAGACATTTTTGATCATCACATGGTCAGAAATAACAGGAAAACACAAGGATTTCTGTATAATAAAGCAACACTGCCTCATTGCCTTTACTGTACACACTTGCTGTCATGTGAATTCTCTCGTTCTGAGCAGAAGAAAAAAATCCCTCAGATAGATATTAGAAGTATTATAGAATGAGTAGTAATTACACATTCCAATCAGGGCTGTGTAGTGTAGCTGAAAATTGTATCATGTTGAAATATTTTTTAGTTGATATAAATTTAATATTTTTAATCTGACATTTATTTACACTGTTTACAAGTTAAAGGCATGAAGCATTCATCCTTCATTTCAGGTTTGACACTGGCCAAAACAGTCAAAATGATCTAGCTGGTGAAATAAAATGAACCAGTATAGCCTAAATACAATCACTTTGCCTTCTAACTACAAAAACGGTAGAAAATGGTTTAATGTCAATTGCCTTCAATCCCTACAAACAGCTATAGATAACTCAAAGAGTTCATGTCAATATGCATCTACAAACACACACTGTGCAAACAAGAAAAGACAGAAGAAGGGAGTACAGAAGTACAGAAAGGGTGTAAGGCTCCATCATTACAGGGTATGACGTTTATGAGTCAGGGAGGAAGCACAAAGGGATTTGTTAATGCAACCAAACTTTGCAACTTTGTGTTTTACTTATGTGCTTTCATGGCGGTTAGAAAGTGATGCATTGAAGTGAAACTACCGAATATTGTATTAAACATTTTCTTGTTGCTGTCGATGAAGTGTCTATTTCTGGTACAAATCACTATCTCTATATTGCCCACAACTAATCCTAACACGTGTTGTTTGTTTTATTCTCAGGGTCTCCAGCTACTCCCTCGTTCTCCATCGGGGCCGGATCAAAGCCATCCGGAGCTCGGCAGAGGCTGCAGGCTCGGAGGCAGCACAACAGGAAGAAGTAACCTGCTGCACGAGTCCAACACCGCTTTCAGAGGACTTCAGCTGTTGCTGCTACGGCTAATCTGGCTAACATTGCTCTGTTCTAAGCCCAACATCCCCCAATCAGGCCGCCACCTCTGCTTCCTCCCCCCTCCCCCCCTCCAGTGGGTGGTGCTGGCCCAAAGCATTGTGTCTGCAGAGGAGTTAGAAAGAGCACACCAGCTTGCTGAGTTCATGCTGCCTGGATGACTACATGACCCAGCGAGGGAATGTAGCAGCGAGGAGAGAGGATCCATAACGATGTACTATACTTGAAGAGAAAAGACAATTGAATTCAGAACAAAAGCATATCCAAAGTTCTTTTTCCTTTTACAGTACACGAACACTCCCATTGGTTCGTCTTAAGGAGAAAGTTGAGTCAGGCAAGGACATGGAGCCTCGGCTCACATTTATTTTTTTACGTGAAGCGCTCACTGGTTTGTATGTTACCGAATATTTGAGTACATTCTCTGAATAGGGTGAAACGCACAGTTGATTCAGACAAGGTACACGACACTGCAGTGTAAATGTAAAGTTATGAGACGTTTGCATTTAAATTATTTTTTTAATTGGCTCTCTGACCCTGTAAATGAATGATGTGTTTCTGCACTTAAAGGGCAACTTAGTAAATGTCTTAATGTAGTTTGTGCAGACCCTCGTGTTCTTGTTTCATACTCTTTGTCATTGCAAGCATTCCCAGAGTCCTCCTGTGGATGGCCTTTTTGTTTTTTTGACAGTGATTGCCAACACTGGTGTAATTAACAGGTCAGTATGTGATTGGGACGACTACTCTTGACTTGTGCTGACAAACCAAAGCCAACTCATCAACTTCATGCCTGTGAAAAGAATCTGTGATCTCTATCTTTAAATCCTGAGATGTGTGTGTTTGTGCCAGACTACCTCTCTTTACTCCCAGGCACTGAATCCTTGTTAATTCACTGAAAAATAACAAATCTGACAGACGAGTCCACTCAATTACACCTTCAACTACTGTTAACACAGATGTACCGTAATGAATAGTGCGTTTTTTTGTTTCTTTTTAAGTATCTGCACAGCAACACATTATCCCCACTGCTGAAATAGCACCGTTACAGTAGATTACTTCACATTAACATCAGATTTACTAAAAATACAGTCTGTTGAATTGGGACCCGTATCTGCTTGGTAAATACAGAAATTCTCATTGTGATGCAGGGATTTTTGTTTTTTTGGGGTTTTTTTTTTTGGAGGCTTTTTTTGTCAAGCAAACATGATCAGTTGATGTCAGCTGTTTTATCAAGATGACGTCTGTTCTCAGTAATAATCACCTCTTGTGAAAAGTGAGCAGTATCTGATGCAGTTTTTGATGGTCAATTTTGAATTAATAAAACCGTTTTGGATGTGGATGTTCCAACAAGAACACAGTGAAACCTTCAAGTTCTCGTTCTGCTTTTCTACCATGAGACCACTGAAGTGACCATTTAGTTGAGCTGAGCAATGGCCTGACTGGATTAGATATTTATATTAACAGTATAGTTTTTTTTAGTACAGTACAACAAGCAGGGCTGAACAATTTCAAGAAAATATGTAATTGTGATTTTTCTGCGCTATAATACTTTAAAACAGATTTAAAATGTGGTGTATCATTACCACATGAGAGGCCATCAAAGTATGAACTGTTCTACATTCTAATGCAAAGATGAGAATTTAAAACTTCAGATATGTATTTAATATTGTCTTTAAATGGCAAAGGAGATAAAATTACCACAAAAGATAAATAAATGGCAAGTTGCATTGTTTTCCATTTTGATTCAAACTTGATCAACTGTTCAGCCCTAAAAAGAAGCTAACAGTACTTTTTAGTGCTGTTACATAGTTGTAGGAAACAAAGCAACTTGTACTGCATCCAAATATCTACAATGTTAACAAAAATTTTTTGTAGTTTTTTTTTTCTTTTGCAAAGTATTCAACAGTTCTTTTTTTGTTTTCTTCTAGCATTTTTCCCATACGCAGAAAGCAGCTTTCCCATATCTGTGCATTGTCATGAATATAGCATTCCTTTACTGCACACTGAAAAACCTGCATTTTTAATGAAGAATTAATGAATTACTTTTTCTGTGTGAACAAACAAGCTCCTTAAAATCTGCATAGAATTAGTATATACCATTGAGTTGGGTCACAGTGCTGTCATTCATTCTGCTGGATTTTGTCATTTTTTCTTTTAGTAACTTCTGCAAGTTCACATTTTAACGTCTCAAACCCTCAACTATCAGCTTTGTTTAACTTTTATTGAAACAGGGAAGGGCCACTGAGCTGTCTTACAAGGATCGCTGATCACAATATATAAAACAAAAGCACACAAGTCCAAATCAATAACAGACCGCATCAACATAAAGGACAACCTCTGTTTAACGGAGATGGCTTTTCAAGTGATTAAATGGTATTAGCTTTGTCTAACTTTAGCAATTTTAGCAGATTAATTAAAAGCTACTTTCTCAATCTCAATATTAACATGTTATTGAGGACCAAATAGTCTCATGTCCTCTTAGAATGTAAAATGCATCCATAGTTGAAGCCAATAAACTGTAAGGTATTTAGAAGAACGTGCAGATCAAAACTGTTGAACTAGAGGAAAAATATGCACACCTCACCAAACATTAAGGTTGCAAAGGTCCTGAATTTAGTACTAAACACACCCTCATGAGTTGCAGTGATTCCTTAATACATCAATCTGATTGACCGAAATCTGCAGCTACTTTGAGATCCGATTTATCATTTTGATTATTTTTCAGTCAAAAGTTCTAAACATACAGTGGTTCCAGGTGTTCAAATGTGAAGATTAGATGTGTTTTCTTTGTTAGACTGTCGTTAAGACTTTTTGAACTTTTAGTATTTAAAAAAAAAACATGATGTAGATTTGTATTTTCATTCTAATAAAGTATTTCAGTATCTCTACTTATCACAGTTGAAGAATCAGTTTTAACCACGTTTTTAACAGTAACACACTCCGGACCAGCAGGTGGCAGTAAGGGCTCTTATGTTAATTTATGCTGCGTTCAGAGAATATTGGCAGACACAAGAGCTAAATGTGTATTTTGTTGATTTTACTTTAATATAAATGTAGGCTTTGCTGCGCGAGTGTTCTGCCAACATTTTGCTGATATGCCAATACTTCTTTACATTTATCATCAGAATATGAGTAACAAGTCGGTGGCTGGCTCACTGTGGCGTGGTAATTACGATTTAGACGAGAGGATGCAAATGCAGCATTGGTCTGATAGGAGCCCTTGAACGCATGCGCAGTGCCCCACTAGTCAGGGGTAGCCAAGTATACGTTAGCGTCGCAAAAATACGTGGCAGAAAGCTTTCGACATGGAGGTAGCCGCACTGATCGCCTTGACTTTGTTACTGGGAGCGCTGGTTATTCTTGTAGCGTTGGCGGTGGGCAGACGGAAAGAAGAGATAAGAGAGGAGACGGAGCAGGCGGCGGAGTTTGCCGGTAAGCGCCGAACATGCTAACGTAACTCGAGCTAGCTGCCGAAGAGGCGACTGTCGAGTCACCAACGCGGCCACTGCTGCCTTCATTCATTCATTTATTCATCCATTTATTCATTCACTGGGAACCGGAGAGAGCTGTGTGTTTGATATTCGTTGCTCATGCACACGAACACTGTCTCACGAAGCAACAAAGAACACGAAAGCAACTTTTGAGTGACTGTCACCTGTCGTTGGCCAATCGGCTCATGTTTTATTAACGGACCAATGAGAGCACCGCTCTCTGCTGACTCTCTGACAGTTTTTTAATACTTTTATTGATTTCAAAGGTCTAAACAGGCAACTGTAGAACATTTAATCCGTTTATTAAAAGTCTGAGCGTATAGTGGGTATAAACTAAGCTAAGTTTCAATGCATGTGGAATAGGGAACTTCACATTTAAAAAGCCTAAATGTCATAAAGCAGGAAGATTACAGCTGACCTTTGATATTTAATGATATGACTTTTATTATCAGCTGGCAAATCCCACATTTTTTTAGTGACATTAAGATCTGACTATGACTTGTAGGTAGAAACATGGTTCTTCTCGCATCTTCCACAAAAATGCAGCTGAATCAGGGGCTTCTTGGCTTGAGGACATCAGATTTCCAGAGGACGGAAGGGGACTGAAGCACACTGATTAATTCACAGTCTATGAATTGTGCAAACAGATAAAGGCGTCTTTATCAGTCCGAGTGAACAAACACATGAGGCAAACATATTTTCAACCTAAACCATGTGTAGAGTTGGTTGTCATGAATGGCTTGTATAAAACTTATGAATTGTCAGAGTCTGTGTGCCAATGTGACTTATAGGTTTTATGCTATTGGAGGTTCATTTACTCCCTGTGGTTCGACCATATGGGACTGTTACCAACAAGTTATGTTGCTTAGATAAATGGATGGCAAAAGGATTCTGGTCTGTATTGCGTATTCTACACACCTGTGGTTTAATTTTGTGTGATTTTGTAATTTTTATGTGAATTATGTGACGTTGTCTTCTCGACCATCTGGGGAGTTTGTCTTCATGTGAAGGATCCAAATTTCCAAAATGACATATTCGCCAATTCTACTTTGTACCCCTTGCATATCATGCAGTCACTGAAGTGGACCATTATTATATAAAATATTTTTGCATACAAATGATGTTTCAGAAAAACCAAACCGTCCTTTTTTTGCATTTCATAATGGATTTTACAAGTATTAGATGCTGTGAAAAAAATGTATGAAGATTAAAATACCCCAGAACATTATTTGATAATCCAAACAGTTTACATTTTCATCGACCTGTTGATTAATCAAATAATCAGCACTGTAATAAGCAGATTATTATTGGTGCAGTGAGTAAAGACATATATCCAGCAGTCCTGCTTAAAAATAGTTTTCTCGGCAGGATGCTAAATACACCTGAACTTTTGTATATCCAAAGACAAACATGTGCATTGTACATTTTTTGATTGAGGGTTTCAATATAGGCTGCAGTTTTTCTGGATTCCTTACCAATTATATTGATTTCTTGAACATTTGTTTTTAAAGTTGAGTTTCATTTTTGAAAGATCTGTGCAAGTCAGTGGTTTGTCTAATGAAGTGTGGATTTCATAATGAAACAATGAGAAATTTCTGTAAAATAATCTCTTGATTTTGGGAAAAAATGCAGTAATGTGAGCATATTTCAAATATCTTTTATTTTACTTCCTTAAATGCATGAAAACAAAATCTGCAAAATGTCTGTGTCACACACCAAACATATATTCTCACACCCTTTGCATATTCATATCTGTCTGGTGCTGCAGCTAAAATTGGACTGCAATCTGTCTTTTGGTTTCTGTGAACCTGAGAGTGAAATAAGCTTTGGTCAGCTATGTAACACCCCAGCCACTCTTTGTGTGACCTTTTTCCTGCTGCAGTAGGAGGTTGGCTTTGTTGTCTGTTACAAGGACTGTGTGTCCTTCTTTGTCAGAGATCTTCTACAACAATGACAAATGTAGCTTCCTTGAGATTTTGGTATCTCCAGCAGTCATGAATATGTTTCTCAGTACCCTTGTTTGTCTTTCAGCTGAAAGCAGTGCTGCAAAGGGCCCTGCGTCCAAGAAACAGAAGCAGGAGAAACAGCGCAGTCGCAAAGACAAACCGTCACAGCACACTTTCAGCCATCCACTGTTGGCATCCTCACTGAAGGTAAACTGAAAAACACACAGGCTCAATAACACATTAGGCACTTGTTGTTCACTGACAGCTTTCTGTTTAATGTCTCTGCTTATTGTATACTGAGATTTAAATGGGATGGACAGAATATTTAAAACATCCACCAGATGTAAAGTTCAACTGCAACAGTAAAAACATCTTCATGAAAAAACTATCTTTCCATTTCTCTGTATTAGAATACTTTACTTATAGCTTGATAGGCCCAATAAACTTGCAACTGAGTGGATTTGTGAGCTGTTTCTGAAGACTTACATTTTTAATTGTGTTGCCTCACTTTGTTTTTCTTCTCCAGTGGCTTTCTTTTGAGCATGTGTGTACTTGTGTGTTTTTCAGGGCCACAGTGGAAACGTGACGTGCCTTGATTTCAGCAGTAACGGGAAGTACCTGGCATCCTGCGCTGACGACCGCACCGTCCGGATCTGGAGCACCAAAGACTTCCTGGACCGGGAGCACAAGTGTCTGAGAGCCAATGTAGAGCTGGATCACGCTACGCTCGTCAGCTTCAGCCCCGACTCCAGGTCTCGCCCTGTTTCTTGCTTGATTTATTTACAGACACAAAACATTCCCTGTCTGCCCCTTAACGAACCTTAACTGTCTCAACTACAAACTTCAGCTTAACTGAGACCTACTGTAAGTTTAACTAAATCCTTTCAAGCAGGTCTCACAGCTCAAGCAGCATTAAGAGAAGAAAAAGGAAAAATGAATGAAATGATGACAAAAGTCAACCACACAGCGAGTTAGCAACTGCACTGCAGCTCAATCTCAGGATTAATTCTCTCATTAATCGTTTTGTAGCAGTGAGATGGGTGATTTATAGTGTTTATTTACAATATTAGGTTCCAGATAATCAAACTCTGCAAACACTCAAGTGTACTAATGTCACCTATTATCACAATAATAACTTTAAAAATAACATGTTGAAGAAAGTCACATTTCCAACAGTGTAAAACTCCAAGACATTTCATTTGCAGTGATGTCGGTTTCAAAAAAAAAGCTCATGTCAAAGGCAGGAAACTGAGAGCTTTTGTATTTGCTTCTTAAATGAAGATGTATCAGTTGTCAGAATAGCTCAGTCCGTTAATCAGATAATTGTTGCCACACAAATATCAGCTAGAAGAGATTTATGTAAGTAAATCAGGTCTATTTCATTTGAAGGAATGCACAGAGCTTCACTTGTTAAACAGCCAAATGTAGCTACTTATACAGATAGTATATTTCTGTAAAGCAATCACCTTGATTCTAAAATAGAGATGTTTTCTGACATTATTGTTTTGTTTAGATTTTTTGCCCTGTTGTTCCACAGTCTGCGTTTTCTGATGCAGACTGTGGTTTATTTTGCTCAACCACAGCAGCAGCATAAGTAACCAGAGCAACAGCCTGTTGTTGAAGTGATTTGTGGATGCAGGTACGTGATAATCCCACCACCTCCTTCACCGACTCATCTTTCCTTTTCACCGCAGGGCATTTATCACCTGGTTGGCCAATGGAGACGCCATTCGAATCTTCAAAATGATCAAGAAGGATGACGGCACTTTAAGCTTCAAAGCCGCTGCTGAGGATTTTCCACAGAAACACAAGGCCCCCATCCTCAACATCGGCATTGCAGAGACGGGTACAGAACACATGGATATCTTTGAATCTGTTGGTGTTGACATTATTATGGTGTGTCTAAGCCAGTAAGACACAAAGATACAACAGACATTTGTTTGTTTTTACAAACAAATAAACACAAACTTAGGGATGCAACTTTGCCTGAAGCTGAAATATGTTGATTGGAATTTAAAGACCAACTTACCTGTGACCTGAGGACATGAATGGGGTGAATGTTTTGCTTTTGGGTGCCTGTAACAAACAAAAGTAGTTTGTTTAAAAAGTGTAAGATTTGCGCTGAGGGTGGCATTACAGAGAAAATTCCCTTCCCCTGATTAATTTAAAATAACTTGTGTGGAAATCTTTTTTTTTTTTTTTTGAAAACTCTAATATTTCATTTGAACATGGAAATATTGAAAGTGCTACAGGGACTGTGAACATACTCAGCAGTTTTAATAGAAACCAGCTTAATTATTTTTGTCATAATTTGTCAAGAACTAAAGTGTTTATTAATATGAAATTACATTTTTAATCTCTTCACCATCAACCAGGCGTATAGTCGGGGTGGCTGGTTGGACGTCTGGTCAGGTTGAAGTTGTCTGGGACTATTCTGGGCATCACCTCATGTTTCAACAAATTACATTTAGTTTCTGTCATTCAATCGCTCACTCTCTGAGACTGTTTGCTGTGTCCTTGGGTTGTGATCCACATGGTAATAGTTATGCTGTTGATAGACATAGTTTATTCCTTTGTGAATTAAGCTATCGCAGCTGTGAGGCTTGTGTTTGAGCAGTGAGAGGCGAGAGAAACAAAAACATGTCTGATGTTTTGAGTTCATTAAGATTTCATAGGTCTTCTATTTTGTCACTACTTTTAAAGACTCATTCTGTGTTTCTTCTCTGCAGGCAAGTTCATCATGAGCGCCTCCACTGACACCAGCATCCACATCTGGGACCTGAAAGGAGACATACTGGCCTCCATCAACACTAATCAGATGACCAATTCCTATGCTGCCATCTCCCCATGTGGCAGGTCAGTCCCACCCGTCCATCACTGCAAACCTCACACCTGAAAGATCAGATACGGAGCTCAGAAAGATGCATTTTGCCTAGAAAACGTATTTGTGTAACTTTTGTTTTGTCCTGGAACTTAATCAGACGTAGTGAAGGCAGCTTGGAAAAAGAGACACATTCTTACGTTTGAATTCTGAGATGTTACTTGAACCTTTATCCAACAAACATTTGCTTCAGAAGATATTCAAGACTTATTTGCTTGCTTCGTTTTTAAATTTAATAATCTGCTCTTTATTTATTCTGTACATTTCCAAGAGAAAGTTGGGATTATTGATTAGTGTTGCAAATAATTTGGAAACTTGATGTCATCTTCCAGCTCTGATGGCATGTGTGATAATCCAGTGGTTGTCCAAAACAGATGTAAGATCTGTATCAAAACCAAATCAGGTTTGTCTGTAGTTCTGGGGGGATTTTTCCCTCCACACATTTTGGACAAAAGACTCCTATTGGATGAACTAAGTCAGGTTCACTTATCAGGCTCACTAATGTGAAGTAGAAGTCTCTCTGGTTTGCAGGTGGGTTTATGAAAAGCTTAGATGTAATTTTCTTTAACATTTGTATGTATTATGTTGACTTTTTGGTGGAGCGGTGGTTAGCATCGTTGCCTCACATCAAGAAGGTCGTCGGTTCACATCCCGGTGAGGACACCTGTTTTCCCTGTGCAGCGTGGGTTCTTTCCGGGTTCTCCGGCTTCCTCCCACAAGGTCCAAAAACATGATGAGGTTAATTAGTGATTCTAAATTCTCCTGCAATAGACTGGTGACCTGTCCAGGGTGTCCCCTGCCTTCACCCTAAGTCAGCTGGGATAGACTTCAGCCCCTAACCCTAGTGAGGATTAAGCGATGTATAGATAATGGATGGAAGGATGTTGACTTTTTTTCCTTCTGTCCTTTCATGAATTTAATCAATCCATCGGTTTGTTGAATGTGCAGATATACAAAACGTACTCTTGATTTTCTCTGTGCTGTGTGGTCACTCATGACGCACTTCCACCTGAGCATCTGCAGCAATTTGCGTATGTTCAGAGAAAAGTGGCTCCAGAGTCAGATTCAACCTTGATGCTACATTACCCCCTGAATTTGCATCCGAAATACGCTTTCTATAATTCGTGATCAGATTCATTACTCTGTGAATCACAATAAATGGGCAACAAAAGCTGTTGTCATGTCAGAGTCTAATGTAGAAGAAAGAATTACAAAAAATATGTATTGTCAAATCTGTGACTAGACTGAGTTGTTGGTCACAATAGAAACAGCAGCATTTATGTGGGATGTTGTTTCAGGTACCAGTGAGACGATGAAATATCAGTTTGAGTTATAGACCAATTGATTTTGAAGCCTTCTCAGATGCCAAAATACTGTGCAGCAGTTTGTAATGCTGTTAGACAATGTTTTTGCCTCTATTTGAAGTTGTGTTGGATCCACAGTTGTGCTAGAATCTTGTTTTACTGTGCTGGACTAAAGAACACAATACAGTAGCCTCTCTTCTGAACAGATTTATCTCCTGATAATATCTTGAGCCATTTTTGTTGTAATATTTTACCTCTAATGTTTTAACTTTTTTTACTTAACTTTTAACCTTGTAGGAACATTATTTAAAAAGATAAATATCCCTTAAGATGTATTTAGAGTAAAACTGTAAAACCTGATTCAAACCTGTAGGTGATGTTCGCCAATGTTGTGGGAACATTGCCTGCCAGCTAGATATTATTTATACTGTGTATGAATGAAAAATGTACTTTGTAAAGACTGTTGCATCTAACAGAAATGTTTACAGCAGTACCTTGGATGTGCTGTACTGAGCTGTCACATACAATGTTATAATGCAAGAGGAACCTTGTATTTGAGTTGTACGTGACTCAGATGAAGCTGTAACTTGTTTCTCTCTGTTCTCAGGTTTGTAGCTTCCTGCGGTTTCACTCCTGATGTGAAGGTCTGGGAGGTTTGCTTCGGGAAAGGAGGAGAGTTCAGGGAGGTGGCCCGAGCCTTCGACCTGAAGGGCCACTCTGCAGGAGTTCACGCATTCGCCTTCTCTAATGACTCTCACAGGTAATCCAAACGTTTCTGAATAAAATACAGCGACAAAGAGACGACTCACAGTGTCCAGAGTCTAACGAAGCTGGCCAATATTTTTGGGAAAAACACATATTTGCTAATTCCTCTTTTCTTTTCTTTATGGTATTGTGCTTTTATTCAGTTTTGTCTTTTAGTCATTGTGTTGAAGTCTTATGGGTTCCTATTTATAGTTAGCTATAATACAACATTTTTGTTCAACTCCTGCTGTTGTGAATGTGCTTTTTAAATATATTTGACTTGACTTTGTTGCTGAGGCTTACCTGATAAGATTGATGCCTGTCACATCTGTAAGATAAATATGAAGACGGCCAGCAGCTGTTGGACAACTCACCAGCCCTGCTCATAGCTACAAATTATATTTACCAGAAACTTAAGACCTCCTAGATATGCTATTGTTTTATGAGGGGTAGACTCCAGAAAATAACACGGTTTACACATCTTAAAAAATGAAACCTAACATGGTATTTATCTGTGGAGGCTTATTGTCCAGATATTTTGATAGAATGTATGTCCTCAGTTGTTTCTCTTGTTTTAAATATGCAGAATAACCCTTGCATGGCACTAAATATTTTCTTTTCTTTATCAGAATGGTGACTGTCTCCAAAGACGGTACGTGGAAGCTGTGGAACACCGATGTTGAGTACAAAAAGCAGCAGGATCCCTACCTCCTGAAGACCGTTCCTTGTGCCTCGTCAGACGGCAGCCGGGTGGCCTTATCTCCAGACGGTCGCGTGGTGGCCGTCAGTGATGGCTGTAACGTTGCGATGTACGACGCTGCCAGTGGCAAGCTGGAGGAGGAGCTGCATGGCGTCCACAGTGTGGAGATCACTGACCTTAGATTTGACATTAATGGGCGCTTCTTGGTGTGCAGCGGCGACAAGGCTATCCGAGTGTTTCACAATGCGCCGGGCTACCGGGCGGCCATCAGGGACATGCAGGACATGTTGAAGAAGGCCCAGAACGAGGCCATGAAGCAGAGACTGCAGCAGCAGATAAAAGAGGCTCAGAGCGCCCTGGACACTGTGCTTGCTGCTCCTGTTGACTGAAAGAACCTCAAGGAATCGTGCCCTGACTGTGATTGTGTTTGACTCTGACTGCTGAGCTCTTTTGTGATGTCAACTCTCCTTCTGCCACTAAGTGATCTGGCTGAGGAATGATGAAATTTGCATGCAGTTTTAATAAAGAATATGTTTTTATGGAAAGATGAAATGCTTTGAGTTTGATGTCCAGTGAAGTCTTTATTCAAGTATTTCTTAGGGCCCCCAAAACATGGTTGTGAAACTTTTTCACAGTACTGATTTTTAACATTGTGTAACATCAACACAAAATCTGTAGTTGAACAAAGAACTGTTTAACGACTTACTGGCCACACTAACAGGTCTTTTTCACACAAGACATTTTAACAAGTGTTAGCAAGGAAAGCAGAGGTAAATAGTATAAATAATAATGCCTAAATTCCAGTAGCTACTTCCATTTCTAAGCTTTCTGTTGTACATGCTGGTTCTTTGTCAGGAACCATACACTGTATAAAAGATGGACGTAGCAACCGGCCCTGAAAAATGAAGCCAACCCGGAAGTGTCAAAAGCCTGCAGTATCACTACATCTGCTAGTTGCTGGCTCCAAAAATCCAAGATGTCAACCAGGAAGTAGCAAAACCCTGGCTTCATTTTCTCAGTCCAGAAACCAACGGGTGACGTCACGGTAGCTACGTCCATCTCTTATACAGTCTATGGGTTGAACAGATTATCAGTGTCGTATGCGAGCAAAAGACACTGGTGTCTCTTGCACCGCAAGTGAGTGTGAATGTGTAGTTGAGCGCACAGAATGGAGATCTGTGAGAGCATAAATGACAACCGAGTGAAAGACAGTATGATCGTGCATGTATGTTGATAGTTGCAAACAAAGCAGTAATAGTTTTGAGTGTAGCATGGAGTTTTGTTTGTTTACGATAAGTGTTTATTTGCTCAAAATTTCCCATTAAGCGCTGAACTGAACCAGCATTAATGTTGTTAGTAACACCTGAGTTTTACCCACTTTGATCAACCAGATTAAAAAAAAGTGTAAAATGTGCCCTGAAGCTGACAGAGCTCCTCTTCCCCTGATTACATTCTAAGTTTTATAGAAATCTTCTCTTTAAAAACCGTGATATGCAATTTAAACATGAAAACACTGAAAGTGATGCAGGGAAACTCGTCCCTGGGGACTGTGAACATCCAAAGCAGTTTTCATGGAAAACTATCACATCTATTCATTTTTGTCATAACAGATCAAGAACCAAAGTGTTTGTTAACTTCAAATTGAAATTTAAATGACTTTAAACCTCATCCCTATGACACCAGTGCACAGCTATGTTCAGTTACACCGGCTGAACAGGTTGAAGCTGTGCGGCAATAATCCAGAATTCACTTAAATGTTTCTTGACTCTTGTGATAATATGAGTGTCCCTTCCAGGACAACGTGGACACTTGACATTATCAGGGACACTAACAGGACGACATCATGTATGTTATTTTAAAATTCTTTGATCTCCACAAATTCAATGTCACTGTTTAAATCTAATTGGGATGGAAGTCAGACGTTTACTAGCCTGGACAAATAAAACCAACCAGCATGGCTGCATAACGTTACAGAGGTAAGTGATATATTGTATTTTTGACATTTGGGTGAACTGTGTCTTTAAATTAAAAAAACAAAAACAAAACATTCATAAATCCATAACAAAAAAACTACAACATTTTGATGTCTGCAAATATTCTGTTTTGCAAATATTTTTTAATTTTTTTTTTTGTAGTATATTTTCTTTTTTTGGATTTTTTTTTTTTTTTTGTCTTTTCTTCTTCTTCTTTTTTTTTTATACACAATGTGTGTCTTTTTTTGTGCGCTCTTTTTTTTTTTTTTTGTGTGTTGTTGTTATTAGTTTTATTGTTATTAATGTTAATATTGCTTACATTATCATCATTTTCTATAGATTTAATAGAATTAAAGATTATCATTCTGTTAATATGCATGATTATTATTATTTTATCATGAACTTAGACTCCAGCCCCCCTACGACCCTAGTGAGGATTAAGTGGTGTATAGATAATGGATGGGAAAAATGTCAAAATTCTTCTGATTCCAGCTTTTTAAATTTGGTTATTTGCTGATTTGTTTACTTCTTATTGACAGTAAATTGAATACTTTGGGTTGAGGACAAAACAAAACATTTGTCATCTTTAGCTCTGTGAAACACTGATCAGTACTTTTCACCATTTTCTGACATTGTATATGTCACACAGCTAACTGGGTAATTGTTGAATTATTGACAATGAAAATGACAATTATTATTTCTGCTGTATAAACATTTAAACAGAATTTTAGTGCAGTGGTGGAAGAAGTTCTCAGTTATTTCTACCTAAAAAATACCAGTGTGGAGGATTAAGCAGTGTATAGATAATGGATGGATTATATTATTATTATTATTACTCAAACGATCTTGATTCAGACTATTTTTCCGTTATTGTGAGTTATTGTTATGATTGTTGTTGGTGTTATTGTCGTAGCAGTAGTAGTAGTTTCACAATTTAGTGAGTCTTGCGTCTCCTTTGTTTTTTTTTATCTCGCAATAAAGTTTTTCGTATTTAAAAAAATTAAATAAATAAATAAACCGGCAGGTCAGAGTTAACCCGGAAGTAGTCTCTGTGGGTGACCACGTGTTCCTGCAGCACCATGAGCAGCCTGCCTTCCTCCAGCCAGTGAAGCAGCGGCTCACACAGCAGATGTCAGCGGACATGGTGGAGCTCTCAGTGAAGGCAGCCGAGCCGCTGCGGGCCGCCGGCGGCCTGCAGCAGAACCGGCTCTTCCTCGACTTCTTCTGGGACTTGGCCAAACCGGACCAGGAGGTGCGACTGAAGGCGGTGGAGAACCTCATCCAGTACCTGAAAGCTGAGAACAAGGTGAGGCTGTCAGAGGGAACGCAGCGTGGTTCTGCTTCACATGTTCTCCTCTGGAGTTTTCTTGGAGTAAGAAAAGTTTTATTAGTAGCTGCAGTAGGAACGTGGAAGTCATACCCTGATAAGAATGTGAAAAACTTTTCAGAAGATTCTAAATCATCATATGTTAGAAATAAATATCCTGCAGGTCCATTTTAAGGGAAAGCATGTAATAGCACTGGTACTCAAATGTACTCAGAATATCAAGACTGTAAAGTACTTATTATACAGAACTGATCCTGTCATGTTATTGGATTACCATTATTAATACGTCTGTACGGATTAATCGATTAGTTGGCAGCTAATAAATTAACCACCAACTGTTTTAATAATCGGTTTGACTAAGTTTTCAAGAAAAACTGTCAAAATTCTTCTGATTCCAGCTTTTTAAATTTGATTATTTGCTGATTTGTTTACTTCTCATTGATCTCTCATTAAACTGAATACTTTGGGTTGAGGACAAAACAAAACAAAACATTGGTCATCTTTAGCTCTGTGAAACACTGATCACTACTTTTCACCATTTTCTGACATTGTATATGTCACACAGCTAACTGGTTAATTGTTGAATTATTGACAATGATTATTATTATTATTTCTGCTGCATAAACACTTAAACAGAACTTTAATGTAGTGGTGGAAGAAGTTCTCAGTTATTTCTACCTAAAAATACCAAAACACCAGACTTGCATGAACATCGAAATATCCTTAGAATATAACGAGTAAAAGGATTCATAATGCACTGAGTGTTACTATACTGTTATTGACCAGTGTTTGATTTGAATATTAGACGAAGGACACATTAAACAGGAAGTTTTGAGCGTCAAAAACTTCATTTTGTGGATTCGATTTATGGTGGAAAAGTATTGAGTCTGGTGTTTCCTCTGAATCCCCCCTGAAAACTAGGCTAGGTATGATGTCATATTTTATGGTCTTAGAATTAATAAGAATTTACTGTCATAGTATTAATCTGCAATTGCATGTTGCATTTTAGTAGCTCGTCATTAGTTTGAAATCTTTATTTGAGCTTGTTATTAAAGCTGTGATGTAGCTGTAGTGGAGAAAGAAGAGCAATATTTGCATCTGAATTATAGTCAAGTGCCTCAAATTTGTAACTAAGTAAGTGCAGAAGCCAAATTATTCATGTAAATATGAAACCATCATCATATACTCTTTGTGCTGCAGGAGGATGAGCTGGAATACACCTTTAGAAGACTCGTGGACGGACTCGCTCACACGCGGGAGGCAGCGAGACCCGGATTCAGCCTGGCTCTGGGGCAGGTGAGTGGACCGTAGAACCAGTTTAACCCATCACTGTTTAAGTAGAAGTCAGGTTTCAGCTCAGAGGTCCACAGCTTTCAGCCACTTCACATACACACATGGACAAAATTGTTGGTAACCCCTCAGTTAATGAAAGGAAAACCCACAATGGTCACAGAAATAATTTGAATCTAACAAAAGTAATAATAAATTAAAATCCTATGAAAATTAACCAATGAAAATCAGACATTGCAAACTCATGGAACAGGCCTGGACAAAAATGATGGTACCCTTAACTTAATATTTTGTTGCACAACCTTTTGAGGCAATCACTGCAATCAAACAATTTCTGTAAACTGCCAATGAGACTTGTGCACCTCTCAGCAGGTATTCTGGCCCACTCCTCATGAGCAGACTGCTCCAGTTGTCTCAGGTTTGAAGGGTGCCTTCTCCAGATGGCATGTTTCAGCTCCTTTACAGATGTTCAATAGGATTTAAATCAGGGCTCATAGAAGGCCACTTCAGAATAGTCCAATGTTTTCCTCTTAGCCATTCTTGGGTGTTGTTAGCTGTGTTTTGGGTCATTATCCTGTTGCAAGACCCATGACCTGCGACTGAGACCAAGCTTTCTGACACTGGGCAGCACATTTCTCTCTAGAATACCTTGATAGTCTTGAGATTTCATTGTACCCTGCACAGATTCAATACACCCTGTGCCAGATGCAGCAAAGCAGCCCCAGAACATAACAGAGCCTCCTCCATGTTCCACAGTAGGGACAGTGTTCTTCTCTTGATATGCTTCATTTTTGCATCTGTGAACATAGAGCTGATGTGCCTTGCCAAAAAGTTCCAGTTTTGTCTCGTCTGTCCAGAGGACACTCTCCCAGAAGCTTTGTGGCTTGTCAACATGCAGTTTGGCAAATTCCAGTCTGGCTTTTTTATGATTTGTTTTCAACAATGGTGTCCTCCTTGGTTGTCTCCCATGAAGTCCACTTTGGCTCAAACAACGACGGATGGTGCGATCTGACACTGATGTACCTTGACCTTGGAGTTCACCTTTAATGTCTTTACAGGTTGTTCTGGGCTCTTTTGTTACCATTCATATTGTCCGTCTCTTCGATTTGTCATCAATTTTCCTCCTGCGGCCACGTCCAGGGAGGTTGGCTACAGTCCCATGGATCTTAAATTTCTGAATAATATGTGCAACTGTTGTCACAGGAACGTCAAGCTGCTTGGAGATGGTCTTATAGCCTTTACCTTTAACATGCTTGTCTATCATTTTCTTTCTAATCTCCTGAGACAACTCTCTCCTTGGCTTCCTCTGGTCCATGTTTAGTGTGGTACACACCATGTCACCAAACAGCACAGTGACTACTTGTAACCCTATAAACAGGCCGACTGACTGATTACAGTTTGTAGACACCTGTGATGCTAATTAGAGGACACACCTTGATTGAACATGTCCCTATGGTCACATTATTTTCAGTCTTTTCTAGGGGTACCATCATTTTTGTCCAGGCCTGTTTCATGAGTTTATTTTTTAAAATAATTCTGTTGAACCGCGGTTCAAAAGCAGTGTCTGATTTTCATTTCTTGATTTTCATAGAATTTTTATTTATTATTACTTTTGTCAGATTCAAGTTATTTCTGTGACCGTAGCGGGTTTTTCTTTCATTAGCCGAGGTGTACCAACAATTTTGTCCCCGTGGGTAGTCTTTATTAGTTAATGGAGCAGGAACTGGACGATATCAAGATCAAAGGATGTGAGTTACTCCATCTCAAATCATCAGGTTCCTTCTGCTCGACAGTCTCTGATTTCCTTGAAACTTTTTTATTATAAAGTGTGAATATTTGAGATGACATCTGTGATATTTTCGCTCGACATATCTTATATTTTCTGAGATGATATCTTTTTAACATCACATGAATCACTTTTGGTGCATTTTCTCAGGCATTAAAATGTGAGGCTGTTTGATTGTCAATATCTCAATAACTTTTGAAGATAAAAGACTGAAATTTTCACTGTTATTTCTCATCATGTCATTGATTCAGAATCTGTAATATTGAACATGTAGATAAAAATATTGTCATATTATGGTTGAGTTAAGCTATGAAAAAATAAACTCACGTAAGAAAAACAATTGATGAAGAGGCAGTTTTAAAAATGCTTTTGTCTCCAACAGTATGACATATATTTAGCTAAAATTTCACAAATATTTTCATACATTTGCATAGTTTTTAATAAAGAGAAAGATTTAAATCAGATGTTGAGCAGCCGGTGAGTGTACAAACACCTAAATATAATGACCATTATGAGCTTTGGAAAGACAAACATTACGACATTTTGTTGTACAGGTGCAACTAAAGTGGTCACTGTTAGTGAGCTTCATCTGAGCCTGTAGGATGATTTGTTGCCTTTTGAGCAGAGCCAAGCTTTTCCTGCTATAACCCTTCATAGCAAAGGTACTAACGCAAATGAGTTTTTCTTTTTCAGGTCTTGAGTGCCTTTGAAGATGTCTCCCTTCAGAGTATACTCGACCGAATCAAAGAAAAGCACAGCTTACAGGCTGTGAAAAAGGTGGGTTTTGGGTGTTTTGGCTTCTTTTATCATCAAAATCTGTACAAATTACATTTTTGAACATTCGTCTCTTTGTTTTTCAGAAACTTGCCAGAAATGCTATGTTTGGAAACTTGTTCGGCGTCCTCGCCCTTCATCAGTCCGGCCGCCTCTCTAAAGTAGGCAGCCTCACCAACACACACATGAGTTGTGAACAATCCTTTAAACATGTTTTATTGTGAGACTCAGCACAGAATCAGACTGGAATGTTAAAGTAGGAAGCGTCAAACATAAAACTAACAATAGCTGTGTTCTATTTATCTCTGTCAGTTTCGGGTTTTGTTCGTGCAGGTTCACTGTCCCGACTTACTACAACAGAATAAAGCTCGTATTAATGCTATTTTCCTTTAGTGACCCAAAAGATTTAAATCACTACATAAGTTATTAAATATGGCATTAGGATGACTTGAGGTGAATTTCGAGGGATGTTTATCCAAAAAATCATCATTAACTAAGTTAAGATCAACCCTTATTACTGTATTTTCTATAGAGTGAGCTGTTTTAAGATCATTTATGTGTAAGGTTAGTTCTCCTAGTAAACGTTTGTTGTCACTAGTGTTATAGTAACCGTAGACATTGACAAAAATGAATTTCACATTGTCAATATTTGTAATCAAAATCAACCAATGGCCATGATTATCTGCCATATTAAGTAAGATTTTGCCAGAGAAGTTTTTAAGTAGGATTGCTATCCCTGCTGATCTAGATGTGCCATGGCTGAAAAAGGCTTTGTCACCCCACTGTTGAGGTCAAAAAGAAATGTCATCGTCTTTCGAATGTGTTTCCTCTAAGAAAAAAAGCATTTTTCCCTTTACAAAACAAAAACAGACTTTTTCGTTTAGTTAAGTCTCATAAACTCCTTGCATTTACAGATAAAAAAAGAGCCTGGACTGTTAAGTTTGAACATGAAACAATGAACAGTTTTTTCAACTTCAATGAACATGCAAGTGTTGAAGCTCACTAACGGTAACGAATGGTGGCAATTCCCTGAAAGTAAACTTAACTTGACTGTGGAATATTTCACAGGACTGTAGGATTCATGGCATGACCCTTTGACCGTTATTATAGGCATAGCGACCACGGTATACAGCCTTTTGTTATCGTTTCCTCGCTTCAGATACTTTGGTCCAGACTGCTGCTCTTGCGTCCAGATCATCTTTGGTCAAATCTTCTGCAAAGCGAATGCCGAGATCGATGCAGACTGGATGTTTATTTGTGACACTCCAAAGCTCGTCTCTGTGTTTCCTCATGGTGAACTGCATGATGATCTGTCTTGGGTGAGAGTTAGTGGGGTCATTGCACCGGCCGAGACGATGCACCGTATCCAAGATGAAGCCCATCTTGTCTCTCCAATGTGGAACAAATTTGAACAGAAGATTTGCAATTAGCTCTCATGAGTTTTCTTCTTTGTCTTCTTTGAGGCCTTTTAATCTCAAGTTCTATCTTCTTCTGTAACTTTCAGATTCAGATCCTTGTCTTTCCATTTCTTTCACCTTTCTTTCCAGCTCATCATTCTTCTCTTTGGGGAATTTGATTTCTTCCTGCAGATCCTTGTTTTTCTCTTTACATTCTTTTATTTCAGCAGAGTTGAAATCCAGAGATTTGTTGATGTTAGCAATAGCAATGGTCTTTTGCTATATGTTTGATTTGATGCCGGTAACCAGAGTATGGAGAGCTCTGATTTCATCCGATTGACATTTGATTGCTTTCAAGACATCAGCAATGGACGCAGTATCTGGAGGGTGTCATCGTTGGCCTTTATTTTCTTTGGCGGTTGTGAAGTTTTAGCAGACGAAGTGAGAGCTTTTTTTAACCGTCTCCCGTCAGTTTCCATGTCGTTGAGTGCACAGTAGTCGTGGGAGACGAGAGCTTTGGGAGTTTTAGCATTCGCAGTAGTGTTAGCATAAGTTTTAGCCATAAGTTCATTCAAAATCGACAAAACATTTATGCTGTGTTCACACCAGACGCCAGTAAAATTATTCGCGCAAATGATTTACATGTAAAGTCAATGTGAAGACGCGAGTAAATGTCCCGCGGCGCAACTTGTGCGACTTGTGCGATTTGAACTTTTTACTGGTAGCACCTAGAATGAATCTGATTGCTGTGGCTAAACTTTATATACACTCCATAAGGGTCCATAACAGCATTCATTTTAATTTGGAGATGTCATTTTACAGGTGGTTGCATTGAAATGACCCGGAATGGTAAGGGGTTTAAACAAAACTCATTGACTAGTGGTGTGAGGGACTGTAGCTGAACACACATGTGAAACAGAATCACTGCAAAGTTCAACCTTCATAATGCGAAATACAATTTTACTGCCATTGTAAATTTTTAAGGTAACTTAGAGGACACTTGGAGTTCATCAAGGCTGATGCCCTGTCTGTGCAATTTTAAAGGAAGTGATTGAGATCTGACACTAAATGTTAGAAATGAACAAAGAGGAGCGAGACAAGCCAGGGGAGAGTCCTGGATTACTGATGTTCCTGCAGATGTGTATAAAAGTTGTCGTGTGTGAACTACATTGTAAGTGTTGTGATCTGCAGGAGCCGCAGGTGGTTCTGGGATGTGTGAAGCTCCTGCAGAGTCTCAGCCAACACAAACAACATGTGAAGGACCTGCCCAGCAAGACCATGATGGACATCCTCAACGAGGTGACTACTCTCTTAAAACATCTCCACAACCGTAACACACAAGGAGATTTCATTTTCACATATTTACACCTCAAAGTCGTTATTGTCATATATGTCATCCTGTCCGTCAGATCCCAGAGGAGGTGTTTGAGGAGGTCCTGCTGAGCGCGCTACAAGCTGACCTGGCATCAGCCTTCAGGACTCCAGAGCAGCTGCAGCTGCTGCTGGTGGCTCTGCAACGCTTCCCACAAACCCTCAAACCCAAGAAACTGAAGAACCTATTGGGCTCCTCCACCATCATCAACACTGACAACATCCCCAGGTAAGAGCTCTGTGATCGGCTCGGCTTGTTTTTTTCTTTTATGTTTTAATCATTACCTTTTTATTGTTGCCCTACTTTTATTCTCAAGCATCTGTTTACATAATATGTCCTGTAAACTTTAACCACATTGTGTTAAAATTAGCTGCTATGCATGTACATCCTCAATTTATGCATAATGTCTGCACCGGTTTCCCTCCTGCGTCTGCTAATTAGCAGCTTCTGTGTGAAAAATCGATGTCTGGCAGGTTGACAGAAGTGTTGAAGATGGCAGCCCGCTCAGTGAAGAAGGACCGCATCCTCCCAGCGGTGGCCCTGGACCTCCTCAAGCTCTCTCTGAAGGAAGACAGCTTCCAGCTCTTCTGGAATAAAGCCATAACAGACGGCATGTTAAAGGAACATGAGGGCCCGACTCTGTGAGTCCTTTCATAGAAGCTGTCAATCTACATTCTCAGAGTAGCAGTGACCTCAACCTCAGAGAAAACTTGCAGCCTGTGTACAGTGGAATTACTCTGAATTACTTTAAATTACCAAGTAATGAGGTGTTAATATATAACAAAAAGTAGTTTTATTATATGTTTACGAGTTCTCATGTGATTAAATTTAACTGCTCTCGTTCCTCCTCTGTCCCAGTGCTGTACTGTGTTGCTGCAACATGTTTTCATGACAGTAGACTGAAGCCCCCTACAGACATGAACCACTTTCCATTAGTGTAACAGCATCTGAACATGCTGGTTTCATGTCTGAATGAGCTTCCTGCTCACTGTTCCGTAAAGGTCGAAACATTTCTGTGTTACTTTAAAGACAGTTCTGAACTACATGCAGTCACAGTGTTGGATAGACAGAAAGCAATGGATGCAGTTTGAGTATCAATCATTGACCTTACCTTCAAATTTCACATCTATTACAAGCTGAAATGTCCATAAAAATAAAGCTTAACTGCAATGAAAACTGAATAACAGCTCAGATGAATAAGACTCATCATTAATTATTG